TTTTTTTTTAAAGTCACGGTCATATTTGAACCACCTTGTATCTAATCCGCCTGTCAACATATCTAATTTATCTGTCCAATCTGGCTAATATATCTAAAATACCTGCCTATCTAATACACCTAATTCTCCAACATACTGTCACAGTTTGGAGAGTAGACATGGTGTTTGGATTGGTAATTAGATTTATTGAACTCTCATACATTGTAACTACTAGTAATTATAATGCTACCACTAATTCATGCACTCCACTCCTCACTACAGCACTTGCTAAGTGCTTGCTTATGACTGTCTCACAACTAACTCTCAACTCTTGTGGTACCGCTAGCCATCACTGACTATTCACTGGCTCTCACTGGCCATAAACTAATGCAAATCAAGTCACAGTCAAAGTCAAAGTTATGTTACAACTGACAGTCAGTCGGCCAGTCTATCTTGGTATTAAGCCCCATTGTGGGCCCAAGACCAAATTTTGTTTACTGTCAGACAGTTGTGGGTTTGTGCATATGGGGTACCCTTTCTGATGGGACGATGGGTCTGTCATTTACAATCGATGTTGGCCCTTTCTAGCGCAGTCATTCTCGGTTCTGAGTCCTGTGGGACTCACGACCATATTTTACTGTCTCAGATTTGAAACTCCCCCAACCTGGAGGGCCAGATCCCCATATTTATATCCCCCAGGAATGGGGTGGCCCAGTTATACCCCCAGGCATTGGGTTTACTATTGCTGCAGATGCTGATGGTAACTCACTATGTAGCCTTGGGTTGGACCATATGTAAAACACTGTTACCAACAGCTCCTTTATTGTTGTGTATTTATTCATTGTTGTGGAAACTTGTTTATCAAGTTGTTACCAAGCAATGGCTATCTTTGTTAGTCATCATGTTACACTATCTAATCTACTTACCTATTATTGAACAAATGCCACTGGTTCACCATCTTACCTATGTAATCTATCTATATATCTAATCTACCTATCTTATCTATTTCATCCATCTATCTATTCTATAATCTATGTTACTATATGTACGTAATTTCACAGTTTGAATGTATGAATATATAAGGGGTGGTCCTTCTTGGCCCTTGCACCATGACCTATAGTGATCTATTGTAATACCATATTTATTTAAGTCTGAACAAAAGGTTACAGCAGTAGAAGACAAAACATTGTCATGAAGTAGAATGAAACAGTTCTTCTATAGTATTATACATATTCAACATAACACACTTGGATAGGACTGTGGACAAAAGGTGGAAATATTACAAACTACCCAACACTGAATTGCTTTTAGATGTCAACCAGTCAAAAAATTTTTACACTTGCCATGGTGCGTAAAACAAATGCTCTTCTCCTTGGACTCAAGAAGAAAGGATTTGGGGAAGGTAAATGGAATGGATTTGGTGGGAAAGTAGAAAAGGATGAGACAATATCTGAAGGTGCTGTCAGGTAATGCATTATCTTATTAACTTCTGGAGGATATTTTTATTCTGAAAATCATGTTCTGATTTTGATCATGTTTAAAATTGCAGAGAGCTTGAAGAAGAAAGTGGCCTTGTTGCAAAATGTCTGACAAAAATTGGAATCCTGGAATTTGAATTTGTTGGTGATCCTGTTTTGTTTGAAGTTCATGTATTTGATGTTACTCAGTATGAAGGCGAACCAGTAGAGACAGAAGGTAATATAAGCACCAACAGAAATAATGGAATTTAGGCATACCAGTTTTCAGTGCACATATAAGTAATAACAGAAGTCTGTTGAAAAAATGGATTTCACATGTGTCAGGCTCACAAGATTATGATATAAGTCATGTATTTTGTAGCTAGAGAGGAAAGCTTACAGATCCTTTTTTGTACCCAGGTATCTACAACCAACATAAATAGGTTTATGGTTGAGAGAAAACTATATCCATATTCTGTCAGAGAAAGAAATGGAGAAAGTTTTTTCCATGCCTTAGCTAAAGGGGTGACCTGTTGATAACCTTTGGGGGTTGTCAATTTACAGAAACTAGCCTGAAATTGTTTATCCTTGTATGATGGGAAGTCATGTTTTAATTCTCATCATGAGAAAATCATAATTCCAAAATATCGTTCTACGTAGGAGATAGCCCATTTCCTGAGCATGCTGAACAGTCAAATTTTCCCATGCCAAGTGGGCAAAGGGAGCCACCAGAAGGGGCAGAAGCAAAATGGTGATGTTGATTGAGAAAGTGGAGGCTCGCGCTGTGATATGGTTCCTACATTTGCAAGGGATGTTTGCCAGGGAGATCCACGACCAGATGACCGCTGTGTATCAGGAAGGTGTACCATCATATGACACAGTGGTCAGGTGGAAGAGGCGCTTTCATTGTGGACAGACAAATCTCGAAGATGAACGCCAAAATGGAAGACCATCTCTCGCTGAGGAACCAGGAATTGTGGCACAGGTGGAAGCTTTGATCCTATCCAATAGGTGCATAACTATTGAAGCTATTGTTCATGGGGTCTGCATTAGCCATGGGTCAGTTTTCAACATCATCCATGGTGAGTCACACATGACAAAGGTCACTGCATGTTGGGTGCCATGATTGTTGACACCAGTTCAAAAACAGCAACAGATGGATGTGACTTTTGCAGTTATATCGAAACAAAATTTTTCGACCACCTGATCACAATGGATGAATGTTGGGTGTATCATTATGACCCTGAAACAAAGGAAATGAGGACAAATCCCAGCTGTCAACAGGAAAGGTGATGTCGAATGTGTTCTGGGATCAGGAGGGTGTCATCATGACTGACTATGTGCAAAAGGGTGTCACCATCACTGGCGAGTACTACTGGAACCTTCTGAGAAAATTACGGAAGGAAATCAAGAAAAATCAACGCAGAATGCTGGGAAAAGGTGTGCGACTTCTTCACAACAACACATCAGCTCATGCTGCTCATGCTATGACACTTGCTGTCAGTTTGGGATATGAAATTCTCCCCCATCCACCCACCATACTCACCAGTCCTGGCACTGAGTGACTTCTGCCTCTTTCCATGGCTAAAGAAGGCACTTCATGGTAAGCAATTCCAAGATGATGATATTTCTGCAGTGAACTTCCTAAACAGTCAAAATGAGACTTTCTATGATCAAGGTATCCAGCAGCTAATGCATCATTGGGGAAAATGTGTGGCCTTGCAGGGGGCATATGTAGAGGACTAACTCGCATACAATTTCTTGCACCTGTGTCTGCTTCTTCTGGGTGATAATTAAAATTTTTATGACTTTCCAATGTACATTCTTTTCAAGAAATAGTTGTGTTAAGCATGACATCCTGTCAGTAGCATTCATTCATTCATTCATTCATCAGTAATCTGTCAAGATGACAGGTCCACAGTCTCTTCCAAAACAGTTCCTCCACTTGATGCGATCTAGAGCTTTCTCCTTCACATGAAACATCTCGCATACATGGTATCTCTGGTTTTGGAAAGAGACTATCCAGGAAAAGTGATAATGTGGTAGTTTTTCCATTTGCTTTCCACATCGCAGTACAATAGGCGTTCAAACCACTCTGGTCACGCCTGTTGCTATACGAACTTGAACCATCTCGAGCATTATTTACTCTGTGCTTCAAGTCGCTGCTGATGACGCTGCTTCCGGCATCAGTTTTTGGTGTCTCTCTTCGTCTGATGCCTACCCTTTGACCTGTCCAGCAAGGGAGGCCCTGNGTGTCTGTTTCTTCTGGGTGATAATTAAAATTTTTACTACTTTCCAATGTACATTCTTTTCAGGAAATAGTTGTGTTAAGCATGACATCCTGTCAGTAGCATAACAGACTACTGATGGTATTTGAAACCTAAGTTGGGGTGGGAAGGAGAGTTCATACAATGTCAATTTAACCATGTCTTGATGATTTATTCCAGAGATGAAGCCACAGTGGTTCCCTGAAGATGGTATTCCATATGAGAAGATGTGGCCAGATGACATATTATGGTATCCCTTATATTTAAAGGGCATTAAATTTAGGGGTCATTTCCTGTACCAAGGCTATGACACCATTTTGAACTATACTCTAACACAAATGGATCATCTGCCATCATAAGCAGCAGCTTGGGGAAGTTTCTGTCACAATGGAGGCATTTGCAGACAGACTGCACATCTCTCAGTGCTCTGTAATATACCATTTATTGAACCATTGTTATGGTTTTGAATTTTGTAAGACTGCAACCATTCTTTCTGGACATTTCATTTGACAGGAGGTGGGTTTGTGGGTCCAGTCTTGATCCTAGAAGAATTTCTCTCCTTTTTGCTGAAACTACATTATCTTATAAAGCATGCCTTGAATCACTGATGTATCACCCTTTTGTTTACAAATTTAGAAAAGAAATGTGTTGTTTGCACATGTTAAAAGAATTTCATACAAAAACTGTATATATTATCCATTTTGTGAGGAAGGGAATAAAGAAAGAATCCCTTAAAAATTGTGGTTTCTGAGTTCTTCCCACTACTCCTGGATTTAATACAGCTAAATAAACAGGTAATTAGGATGAATGCAGAAGCACCCTTACCTCTTACAACATAGAGATATGGAAAGCCAAATGATCTTCACAGAGAACGTTCTGCCAGGAGATCAAAGACATATTAGGAAGCGTAAGAATCATGAAAATCATGACCAATAACATCAGCACTAACAGATTCCATGATGGGATTTCACAGCAAATAAAGAAACCTAGGGAAGTTACATCAGGTATACATCCTACATTTTGGATTGATTGAGAAGACAGCTAGAGAATGTAACAATTAGTCCTATGTTCATAGAAATGCAAAATAAGCAATTAAATGGCAATTAATACTGTGATGGGATATCTAAAAATCCAAAAACTTCAGAACATGGAAATGTAGAAATACCAGAGATGTCCATTTAGTTGGCAACAAAACCCCAAATTCCAGGCAACCACATACATATACAAGAGTCAAGGTACTGTAAAGAACAGAATTGCCTAAACAGTCTGTTGCAAGGTGATAAGGTGACATAATAACACCAGGCAAATCACTGTTCTGGTACAAGCCCACTACCTCAGTGCAACAAGGGTGCAAAGCAAGAGAAATAAGCCAAGCAGAGCTGAACAGCTGACCATAAACCCCTCTAAATGCTTGTACACAGTTACAATAAGATGAACTAGTGCCACATAAATCAATTTCCTACCAGGAACCATGGCATAGTCATCATGTTACAATACCTTTAAACCATTTAAATCGGCAGCACCTGATGTAATCTTGCCCATCCTTTCTCATCACAATGGAGCATTTCATTCTCCACTCTGTTGTAGGTTTAAAGATATGTTACAGTGGCCCAGAGACAGGTAAGCCAAGCCAGTGTGTGCAAACTATACCAGAACAGGGCATACAGATGAGTCTCCTATAATTTTTATTGAAAACATTGGAGAATATAGTAAACATACAGAAGGGGAGGGGAATTATCAGTTAACCAGCTGCACCTATTCTCATCATTGTCACCAAAATTGACCTGTTAAGAGTAATTCGGTATCCAAGGAAAATTTCTTGGTGGAGTAAAGAGATGAGTGCATTTAGCTTAAAACTAGATGGCTACTGATACTATGCACCAGGTAAGACTAATAAAAACATGTTTAAAGGATGTTCTATAATCATATTCTGGAAAACAAACAGTACAATATCAAAATTGTAAAAAATTAATACTACAATACTGACTGGGCAAATATCAAGGCCCATTCATGTGTACCATGCAATATGAAAACAGATATAATTTTCAGACAACTCCTGCCATTAGCACTGCAACACTCAAGCTTAGTGTGTTCATAAATATACAACAGAATGATCAAGGTTGACCAGCTCTACCCACCATTTGCTTTGTCTCCTCTTCATTGGAAGGCAGTACATACAGCATAAACGTTTGTGAAAGCAATGCACTGTACGCATTACCAAAAATATAATACAAAATCAAGAGTTTCTTCCTTGCCATTCAAGACCTGAGGCACAAATTCATTTGTGCTGAATCCATAAGACATCCTTCATGATTAAGAGACCTTGCTAAGTTACGTGCCAAAGCCAATCGAATCAGCTTCACCTTTTCTTCCACAAGACTATTTGCATCAAGTGACTGATCTTGTATTGTTGTCAGCTTGTCACTCCCTAGTGTGCCTCCAATGTCTGAATTCTGTCCTTCCCCAAGAAGTTCCTCCATGGCATTCAGTAATTCATATGTGTCTTCAGATGTGAGAACAATGTCATTTGATTCCAGAAGTGGTAATGCATCTGTCAGGAGAGTCATCCAAAAGCTGGAAAACAAAATGTTAGTTGTCTAATCACTTACTACCATATTTTATTTTTTGGAGTTGGAGGAATTAAGAGCAAACATGATTTTAGTGAGATCGGGTGAGAAGCTGAAGTGTGCAAAACCAAGCAGAAACAGATACTAGTGTACATGGTGCATCACACAGAAACATTCTTAAGAATGAAATATGTCTCCTTGTGATTACTGTGAAACAGGGCAAACCCAGTTCAATATTTGGACTTGCCTTTCTAAGGTGGAAGTATTCTGGATTCTAATTTGTGTTAATCCAAGTCTGAGAGCAAAACAGGCATTTAGGTGATGGCATAAATAGAAGGCTAACACATACCCAATCCATCTGTACTTGTGATACTTTTGAACTGAAGGAAAAGGCTACCCTTGTTTTAAACTTAGAAAGCAGTAGAAGAATACTGGCACTAGAAATTTTGGTATAGGCCAGAAACAAGCATCCTGTTTTTATACAGTGTCATGTAATAGGAAAGATCTAAGCTGAAACATGTACCAGATAATGGTTCTAGCCCTCAGAAATTCTAACTTTTGATCAGCCAATGCTCTGGCCTACTTTTCATTTCATCTCATTATTACTGTCATTCAACAATCCATACATACAGGTATTACAACCATTTGGATAGGGAAATTGTGGCAATATTCCAGTATTATCCTCGACAGACTAATAATAACCATCAAAATCTTAGTCAGTGTAGTTGGTAGTATGACTGTGACTTTGACCAGACATTTCCCAAATAAGCAGTGTAATCACAAAAGAACGAACATGGCTGCTATTGAGAAATTTACTATGCCAACAAAAATCACTGTCACCATCAATTTTTTAATTTTCAATACACAGAATCTTGCATAAAAGTGGGCCTTTCTCCTGGCACTTCTGCAACTATGAGTGATTCTCACACAGCTGTGGTTTTTTCTGTATCTACGGTACTTCCAATTTTGCTTCACAAGCACGCACGCAGACACTCTCTCTTTCTCCCCCCCCCCATGTCGTGCAAGCATACAGCCATTCTAATATGTGACTGAAAAACATCAGTCATCACCTAAAAATGTTAAGTACATTGTAATAGTAGCAAGACGATGTTTCAGAACTGTGCTCAGCATTATTTAACGGCCAATGAGAAATGTCCCTCATGTGACATCACTGAACTTCTCTTCGATCCACAAGCTGGCTTCCCTGTACATCGTGTCATGTCTTTAGTAAACAGGAGTTGAAGATGTTTCATTGAGTATGCTGCACACTGTTAGAAAGTGTTCACTCTTAATTACGGTAAAAGGTAAAGTTATCCTTGTGCTTAAGCCATGAAGAAGTATGCGGAAGTGGACATATAGGACCAAGTATTCTTGACATCAGTACTAGTTGGAGGTGAGAGGTCAGCTTCATGCCCCAGCTGCTTTACACCTGAGGAAAGAGGGCCTGGTATCCATTGGATATGAGCTGGGTGGGTCCCAGAACCACTCTGGACAATGTGGAGAGGAGAAAAATCTTGCCCCTACTGGGACTCAAACTCTGACCCTTCAGCCATCCAGCCCACAGTCAGTCGCTATTCCAGCTCATTCCTAATTATGGTAACAGAATGAAAATGCTTAAACATGAATATGAAGCCTAAAGTAACACATCTCTATGAAGTAAGCAGCTCATCAAACAGTGAAGTAGGCAGGTGGAAAGGAGTTTCAATTTCAATTTTAAAGGGTTCTGACACTGATGTATTACACTCAAGACTCCTTAGTTTCTGGACTTTGATCATCATCTAATATTTTAAAGGAACGCAATATTTTCGAAACTGGATCTATGTCCATCCTCAGGTGAAAGGGTGGGGAGATATCTGCTCTGTTGGGTCTGTTAGACAGAGCTAATCTCAATCACCTAACTCAGCAGATGCCTCTCCAAGTCTTGGACGCTGTTCACCATTCTGAAGAACAAAGACAAGTCATAACTATTCTGTTTGTAAGAAGACCAGTGACATAAACAAATGTGCAAGAATGATTTGAATCCATTCTCTTCAAGCAGTTCTGACAGGAAAGATTAGCTGCCATACCAACTGATGGACCAATAAATAAGGCAAAAGCCAACCATTTCATGGCATGCTTAAAAACAGAATTTTCAGTGTTCTGAAGGAAAACTTTACCATTTCAAAGTGAAAAAGAGAGACCTTATTATGCATAAAGGCCAGGTCACTTAAGTCCATTTAGAAAAAACCCATAATATTCTGAACATATATGTATGTATGAGTCACATCACAAAAATGAACTTTGTGCGCTGCAAGCAAGCATGCAACATATAGTGACGTGGATTATTGTTTCAGAAGGATGTCCCCTAATAAGCAGTCAGGGTGAGTACAAAAAGTTATGTCAGTGTGAGAAAATCTGTAACTTCTTGTTTCACAAAATGTCAAAGACATCTAGAATGTGAATTATACTCTATTTTGATATCTCAGTGACAACCATTTTAGGAAAGCAAAAATGCTGCAGAGCCAGTGTTATTTGTTTTAAATCTTTCTGCCTTACCATAATATATATCCTTAGAATTTTGGAGATATTTAAGATTATGTATGTCAACCATTTGTAGATATTACAAGTATTTGTCAGAATAAGGATTTTCTTTTAATTTTATAAATTCTTATTATATGGAGGTTGTGTTGTATATTTAACCTCTCCAGTTGTAAGATATGCTTCACTAAGGCTTTATTTTACAACTTATGAAAAACTGTAAGTTTATACTTTTTATTTAATTATCCCCACTAACCTTTTTGGAGCTAGTCTGGAAGCAAGAAGTGACACAAGTAATACAGCTGCATCTCGAAACTCTCCAGCCTGATACAGCTGATGAAATTCACAGTACTTCCCTGCAGATGAACATACAAATGTAATTAAGAGGGACTATTAATCAGAATGAGAATTTTTTTACTAACTTCACCTACAAGCGGTGGGTGCTCGATTAGTATAGTTCGCTTGTGGACTAGAACCACGAAGTCTGTGTGATACAAATTCTTAGGAAATTGTATGAAAATAAGAAGTGAGTAATTTAGAATATTATGTAATGTGGCACATGATTTGAGCAGGTCATTCAGCATTAATAAGACAGTGAAATCTATGAAGTTATGTTTAACTGGACATATGGCTATGAAGGAGAAGACTAGGACTGCATATGCTAATAAACCTCTTGGAAACCGTCCACTTGGAAGATCAAACTATACATGGAAGCATAATATTAAAATATATGATATGAAATGTTCTGAGGATTGGCGGTAGATTCAACTAGCTTATCCATGCTTAACTGCAGAATTTAGTGTCAGTGGTGATGAAACTTTGGTTCTGATAACAAAGTGCTAATTTGTCCCTTAACTGGCAATATATACAGAGGCTGATGGCCAGCAGAGTAACTTAAAGTGAACTAACAGGCATACACATAAAAAAAATAATACACTGTTCCAAACAAACAAGTTGCATTATGAAATTTTTGAAAACACACAGGATCCAACCTTGTGTGTCACTTTACCTACCTAAAAATGTGAGTCTATCGCTGACAAGCATACAAGAGCCAAGGTTGTCAAGAAGATCCAATGAATGGAATTTTCCTTCTTGGTTGTACAATTCAAGGAATTTATTGGCCAGGTATGTAGCGAAACCAGCATCCTGTGATCGCAACGCCCAGGTTAATGCATTGCCCAGACGATGCTGCTGATAGGAACGCATTCCCATAATCTTGCAGATGCTTGCAACTGAAATATTGATGCAAATGTGGTTCTATACCTTTCAATTTATTTCCTTACACTGTTTCTATAAAGCCAAGGCTTATTAAAATCATAATAAAATGCTGTATCTTCCATTCAGAATGCTGCAAACATTTGAAGCCACATATCATTAATCAAGACTTGGAACATATTCAAACATCAAACACATTTTTCAGTTCACTATTTTATTTCAGCATTATAAATAATTTCTAGTAAGATTAGGCAGCTTATCTTTTATATATATTTATACTGCTAGTTTTTGCATGCATTTTCATATACTTCAGTACAATAATTAACAAGTTTTATCATGTCCAAATTCATGAGAAAATAATGCATTTCATACAAATTGTGCTTCTCTTAATATTTATAACGAACAAGGTAAATACATCTTTAGCAAATGGACTTTGGTTACACAGACAGATGCTTACAGTTTTTGAACTTTATTTGTTATTTATATTAATGCTTTGACACACTCAAGATTCAGTTATATTAAAATTGTATGTTCCTATGATAGATTAAATCATTTACACATAAAAATTATTAAGTTACAACTATCGATGACAGGGCTTTTAGTTATGTTATTCAAGGTTTACTTCTTATATCAAGTGTTAATTAATACACCTCTTAATTTATTTCATGAATGGCACTTATACCTACTTTTGAACTTCTCTGTATTTGGTTTTGGCTGTTCACAGAATAGAGTTCATTTAAATGGAAGGTTCCAACTAGATTATTTGTCAATTATGTCCCAAGCTAGATTGTTCTACAAACTTTTAATACACAATATCTGACAGAAAAATTACATTCACTATTCTGACAGGATATTTCAGCATAAGCTCACCAATGTGATGCAAGTCCCTCTCACGAGCCACTTGGATAATCTTGAGTGCTCGTGTCTCAGAACCAAGAGGCAGTGTGAGGAGGAGAGCTTCTATGCGGGCACGTCCTTCTGCTGAACAATAATCTAGGTAGTTGATGCCAACTTGCCAAAGAGAGCGATGAGACATCAGCAATGTCCCATAGTCGAGAAGCAGTTGCTCACGTAAATCCATGGCCGAACTGTTAAGAATTGTCTTGTGAACCATAAAATATACAACAAACTACAACTTTCACACACCAAAGAATGTTATTTAATGTACCCAAAACTTTGGAGGAACCTGTCAGATGGATATTGTTCATGAGAAGTTACAGCCTAAAAATGCTTTCAGTATCTCAGTGAGCTGAACACTTTATCTTGGAAATCATATGCCAAATGTGGTTTTCGGTAACTCACTGATCCACAAATGACTGGCTATGGACTGGATGGCCGAGGGGTAGGATTTTGAGTCCCAGCTCTTTCCCCGGGGATAAAGCGACCGGGGCGTGAAGCTGACCACTCACCTCAAACTAGTGCTGAGGTCAAGAAAATATGGATCTATACATTCATTCTCCCCTACACCTTCATGGTGCAGTGCTTAATTAGACAAGTATAGGGGCAACTTTATCATTTTACTGATCCAAAAATTGTCTTTAGGAACACTGTCTTACAGTCATTAAATTCTGATGATTAATGGATGGGGCAAGGAAAAACTGAAAAAGATGTACAAAATTTGAATGAAGAAATAGTGTGGAAATGGTATTTGGAAAAAAAAAAATAGAAACTACTGGGAGAGGGGAATATAAAAACATGCTTTAGCAGGCAGTGGAATACAGTGAGGGGTTCAGTAGCTCAGTTGAAGGCTATTACTAGGGAGAGTCAGTAAATAGGTGACAAATGGAAGTAAAACAACTGTAATGGATGTAATAGGGGTTCTACATGTATCACAAGGTAGCAGCACAGTCCAGCTTCATGACAGTTTAGGTAGCAGACACATATGCACATGTTCAGAGGCTGGCTTCAGTACTCAAAATGGCGACCGAGCTTGAGGAGTTTTCTACTAAAGAGCAGTGTTGTGTTGTGCATTTTTTGTGGGTAAAAGGACTAAATGCAGAGGATATTCATAAAGAAACGGTTCTGTTTATGTTGGTAAATGTCTGTCATGTAAAGCGGTTCACAGCTGGGTTAAGAAATTCTCTCAAGAATGTTTCAAAGCCACAGATGATGCCCAACCAGGTTGCCCTGTTGAGATTGTGACAGAAGCAACTGTGCGGTGGGACAACAGTCCAAAGACTCTGTGCTGTGGGTTCTGACACAGCAGTAAAGCAATGGGACAAGTGTATCAATGATGGTAGAGGACATGTCGAGTAATAAACATTTTTTCCAAATTTTAACATCACGTTTTACATTTCATAACCATGTGTGACCTATTTACTGACTCTTCCTTGTATTACTGTGTAGATACATTTCTGAGCATCATAACAGCAAGAAATAAGGGGGTTAATAACATCCATTTATATAAATACACCTTAAGCTTCTTTATGTTTCATACAGTAAGGCAGAAGACGCAACACTTCCCCCCCCCTCATTTTCATCACCCACATGAAATATATAAATAAAAAAGACAACCACAAATGAACAATTAATTGAAAAAGAAGTGAAGTTATTATTACACATAAGAGAGCTCAGGTAGCAGCTATCATACACAGTACGTGGCTTTCCTTTTTCAGAAATAAAAAAGGGCATTAACTTGGAGCAATGCACCTTTAATTGCAGTAAATATTTCAGTAAAGACTTAAATTTTTCTCCTAGTAGAAACAGAATTGCATACAACACATAGATCTGTAAGTACAATGAGTCATGAATACGTTCAATGATGGCTCGTGGCCATCTGAACAGGGAGGCCCAGAACCGAATAATGCGTAACCCCTCACTTCCTCATGTCTATAATTAAGGAGCAAGTAGAAAATTTGTGTAAGTTTATTACTTGCTAAATAGTCCCCCTTTCAGCAAGTATTGGCTTATTTTGTGTTGAAAAGAACATTTTAAAGAAAGGGGCTGTGCCTCCATGGCATGCAGCTGAATACCTTATTCTTCTTGCTAGAAATACAATGTCCTCTTGGGTAAGGGTGGAATTTGAACCCTCCTAGGCTCATTTATGACTATGATGCCCATGCATCAATTGTATAGACAGACTGAAGCTTTTATACTGCAGGTGCTTCAACAGTGATTCATACAATCCTGAACATGCACTGTATCTGCTACTTACAGGATAGGTCAACCGCATTCCTTACGTGCTTCTTTTATGCTCTTTGATAATCATGGCAACAATGATTCTTGCAGCACTGAATCATTTCAAAATCTTGTTTAAATTTAGTTCGACATTTCCTTGCCAACTTCTCTTTTCATGTATGTTAGCTGTTCAGTGGGAGCTGGGATAGTGCAGTTGGTACAGCAACTGGCTATGGGCTGCATGGCCAAGGGGTCAGAAGTCAAGTCCTGGCAGGGGCAAGATTTTTGTCCTCTCCCATCCTGATCAGTTCTGGGCCCACCCAGCCTCCTATCCCTGGGGGGTAAAGCGGCCAGGGTTTGAAGCTGACCACTCACCTCCCAACTAATGCCATGATCAAGAATACATGGATCTACACATCACTCACCCATATCTTCATGACATAGTACTTAACTAGTTAAAAATAGGGACAACTTTACCTTTTTTCTTTTTTACCTTATTGCAGTTGTTTAGTACCATCACTAAAATTATATTAGTTTCTACTTCTGTAATATCATCTTTGAAATTACTGCTAATACTACATAGGCTAACATTTATATGGTATTTCTAATTAACCTTCTAATCACAGGCTTGTTGCTCAAAATAAACACACACACTGGTAACATAACCATATTTAACCTCAAACAAAGGACACAAAAAACCTAAAATGATAACATATGCTTCTCTCTCACTCTAGTAAAGAGTTCCTGCTGTGGAAGGGAGAACAAGAGAAGAGACATGAATATATATAAAATTCTATGAAGGCCAGATGGATCATCAACACAAGAGACTTACAAGGGAAAGGAATGACATTTGACTTCCAGGGAAAAGTGAGCTAAGGCTACAGCAATGCAGGGTGGCCCATGAATTTCTAGCAACCTAAGCAACTTCCCTGTGGATTTTGGACAACCTTCTTCTGCCATACAAAATGTACACAAATCATAAATCTATCAAAATACTTCTTATCAGATACTAAATACAAACAAATCAGAAATCCAGCTCACTACTTTTCTGTGCACTGAGGCATCAAATGTTGGTAAGAACCAGCCCCTTTGGCACCTGTTTGCAGTTAAGATAATCTTATGAAGTGATAATGTGATATCTGGAAGTATCCACAGCATTTCACTTATGAAGGCAACTAACCTGGCTGTCTGGCTACTTTGATGATTGTCAAGAATCTTAAGACAACCACAATGGTGCAGTAGATCTGTAAGATGAGCTGCAAACCAGCCATTTTCTGATGTCTGTTCAATCAATCTAATCACCTGGAATCATTACCATAAAAATATTACTAAACAGCAGTGGAAAAGGGTAATCCAAGCAGAGTATCTTTCTTATGCGGCTGCGTGCGTTGTATTGAATACAACGCACACAGCCCTATAAGAAAGACACATCATAAGACACAGTATACACACAATTAAAACATAAGAAGAACGACTCCCATAGTGGATGAATGGTGTTACACACAAGTTTAATATACAACATGTAAGATGATAGATCTTAACAAGTTTTAATATATACATTTTATTACTGAACAACGATGAACACACATTTTATATCATATTATAAATGGACGCTTGATGGCAGGCAGTGCAATGGTTTAATATGATTGATACACCTGAGGATGGCAGAATGATGCCGAAACATGTAGTGTGAAGTGACAAGTGAAATTGTATGCACTAAAAGACAGTAAATATATACACATTATGAATAGAAGAACTGTTGGGAGAGGTATTTTCAGTGTAGACCATGCCAAGGCTACATAGTGAACAGCAGCTGTGATTACAAGGGAATCATGAGACAGAAGTGAGAAGAGTAGGAAGTTGGTGTAAGATGGTTAGCAGCCTGGGAGTTAGTAGTCAGACAGCTGCCAGCCAGTAAGGATATGAATATAGAAGCTGAGGAAGCTACAGTGTTGGGTACCATTACCAGTGACAAGCAGTCAAGCCACAGCAGACTTAGAAGACTTGGTGCATGCTGTAGTAAACTGTAGTGTGTGAATTTGGGATAGTGCTATAGTTACTTGTAGTTATGATCTGTAAGTGGGTAATAAATCCAACTACCAATCCAAACACTTTCTACAGTAACATTCTTATCATGTAACAATATATTTTATAAATAATGAAATTAACACCAACAGTCTAGAACTGTTTAAGAAAATGCAACTTAAATTCAAAGTAAAAATGTTTACATAACAGAAAATTGTCTCTTTATTAAAGTGAAGGATACTTAAAATGACAAAAAGTTTTTGGTCAAAAGCAAGCTTAACAGACACTACACATTTGTGGAATTTGATATGAAAGCATGTGTATGATCTCCCAGCACCTCTGCACTTCTGGTCTCATATCCTTAAAACTTCAAGCAGGTCTGCTCCAAATCAATTATCATTATGAACTACCATATCACTTGGTCAGCTGGTTTCAAAATGCTATTAAACCTAATCTGCTCATGATTTAATTCATTCATTCATTCACCAAAATATCTGTATATTTTTTTCAACACAGAGTGGGGTGTTCTATGGTAGTAAATAATGCTGACCTCAGTACTGAGAAAGATTACCTGATGTAGGTCAGATTCCATCAGAGCAACCAGGATGAGGTCACTGTGTTTCAGTCTTGAAATACCACCAAATTTAGCAATGCACTGGTGAGCATGATAACTGAGGTCAAATGATTTCACAGTTGGTTCTGTGTACAGTAACCATGATGCCATGAACTGGTACCATGTTCCACACTGATCCTTCACTTCCAGAAATGCTTCTGCATTACCTACCATAAGCTGAAACAGACATGGCATCCCTTAAGTATTCTATCCTGTGTTCTTGCATTCCTTCCATGAAGCAAATAAAACTGTAACAAAAAATTGGGGAAGATTTGTCTGCATATTTCATCTCCAGTACTACTAATATTTGCAAGAGAGTTGGAAGCAACAAAAAAAAAGAAATCTGACTCATGTAGAATTTGATCCCACTGCCACTTGCAAACACATGCCCAGCACACTAACTCAATAAATAATTACATTATATTGTTGGATTATAAACCGACATTACAAAAGTTTAATATTAATAATAAGATTCATAAACTTGAGAGTCTATATAACAGGAAAGTATGATTCATGAGGTGTACAGAATTCCTTGCTAACTTTTATTTATTTTTTTTTCTGTGGCGCTACAGCCCCAATTTGGGCCTAGGCCTACCTCCATGAAACTCTCCATTTCACTTCGGTTTACTAGATCTTACACATTCGGTAGCACTCCTTGGGCGAGTGATGAGCTCATCGCAAGGCCTCTACCTGTAGACAAACACAGAAAAACGCACACAAACATCAATGCCCTGAGTGGGATTCGAACCCACGATCCCGGCTTCCGAGCGAGCGAAAACAGTGCATGCCTTAGACCACTCGGCTACCGTGACCGGCTTGCTAACTTTTATAGTCACATATTACAAAATACAACTAGATGAAAAAATAGGTTTTTGTGTTAATCTGGGCTTTGAATATAACTCTCTGATGAATAAATCCCATACTTTCATTATAAACTCTAGTTCTTTCCTGGATGCAAATGTTCCAGCTTGAAGTTTACATGCAGCTTCATTCTGCCAGCCCTTCCACCTCATATTGAATTCTGTCAGTGATATACCTCCAAACACCTAAAGAACACAAATAAAGAATTACAATAATTTGCATACTAAACATACCAGTATATTCTATATTATAAACAACATTAAGAAACACAATCTACCAAATTATTTTTCATAATAATAATTATATCTGACAAACCTATCAACAGTTTTCATGTTAGTGTTTCTACACTTCATTAAAATTCAATAAAACTTAGACCAACAAATTGTTTTCAAAATAATAGCAGCTAATCTTTATTTGAAGATCAGTTAATCTGTACACATATTTTAATACTCATGAAACTGAAACAAGTCTAACAACATCTGTAGATTCAAAAAGACAAGACACTTTGCCACATATACCCTCTATATGACTTGTTTGGGAGCGAATGTGTGATGAGATTTGCTAATTCTTACCAGCAGCACTCACTCAGTTATGAGCACACATAAAAGTACACTTTCTCAGGCTTTGCAGATAAAGTTACAACATACACTCATGTAAGTTACACATTTTTAAACAAAAATTTGTGTTTGAAGTTTGTAATGTACAAAGTACTAATAATTGTTCACAATATAATTCTACAATAATAGGTTGAGGTTAAGGAAATTACAGGCCCATAATAAAGAGAATAAGATGAGTATGTGTGAAAATAACTGTGATTTCCATTCTTTTCCATGTAATTTACAGGTATCACTTTGAGCTGGGCAGTGCACCTGTTATATTTTCTTGTGTTTGATACACTTTCAAATTGCATTTATTGCTGCTAATTTACATGCATCTGTGAGTTTCAAATTTTTGACACTGAATCAAGAAAAGATATCTCAATTTTAGTGGTTCAAACATTGATTCTGGGTCTAAAATTGTAAGAATTCTCCGATAATTGCTTCTGCTTTCTGCAGCAGCATGTGAAATAACCAATTCATCAGAATTATAACAGTTTGCTACTCCATCACAAAACAACTTGTCAACAAAATCTGTTTCTTACTTGCCTACATTAATCTTTCTCTTATTCTGTATGTGATGTCCAGTGTCTGATGTCAAAAAGGATAAGTAGTAACACTTTAGAGAATTGTAAAAAAATTGCTAGTGTCATAAATGTTACTGTAGTGAAAAACTGGTCCACTAGAGAAACTCTAATTGTTGCATCAATTCTAAACATGTTTCCAAATTCTCATCTCACTCTGGCAGTCATTCTCACACACACCTACTAAGTTACTAAGCAACTTTCTTTGATTGTACTGAAAACAATAAAACAGCACATGGAAGTGGAGAAGCAAAATAACACAAGGCAAAAGAGTGCTGACAATGTCCAAGACAGTTAGAAAGGAGTAAGTGTGGATGCTTAGATTGATCTGTGACAGTCTTTTGCATCACCCGTGTAACTATCATTTGTCTTATAGTTATTAATGACTGATGAAATGTTTATGTCAATATCTGTGCTACTAGGGTAGCTTGAAAGTTTCAGAAAATAAAATCAAGAGTGGAGAAATTAGCAAGGTGAGTTGTCCCTGTGCTTAATTAATTAGGCACGATGATATGAAGATGTATGAGGTAGTGGAGGTATGGTTTCACCTTCTTAACTTCAGTAGTAGATGGAGGTGAGTGGTCTAGCTTCATGTCCCTGCCCCATGCCCAACTAATGAGAGCTACGCACAAAAGGAACACAGCTTGGATGCCGCAATGTGAAAGTAGCGCAAGTGAAGTGTGCGTATACATTCTCAAAAAATAATGACATATAATAATATCATGTAATATGTTGACATATGAGCTCATACATGGCGGTGGTTTCAATTGATTAATAGTTGCCTGAGGATAGCCTTATAGGGCCAAAACAACAACAAAATAAAATATGACTGTAATGACATTTTAAAATAAAAGTTTATGTTGCATTAGAGACAGAAACAAGTGGATGAGCGACACAAACCAGAAAACCGTATATAATACAAAATTCCCCTTCACTGACAACAAACTTACATTATAAAATGGCATGGTCCTCATGATATAATCCACAGACTTAAATGGTTCACTAAGTGATGCAGAGTGGAGCTTTAATAATGCTCTTGCACCATCCAGCCTACCCTGAAGAACAAGACCAATTACAGTATTCCAATAATCTGGCTCATTTTCTGCTCCATTATCCAACACAGAGGAACCATATTCACCATTTAAAATGGCTTGTGCTTGGCGTTCGTAGTGAACAGAGTGCAATCTAATCCAATCCATCAACTGTGGAAGCACGGCATCACCTGAAAATAAGATGGTAGTAGTGATTAAAATCTGAAGAATAAAATGAGCATTTCAGAATTTTTGTACTTAACATTTCACTCCAATGAACAGATAGCAGAATCTAATGGTTAACCACTGATAACAGAATTATACTGGCCTAGTTCTATCTTCAATCTCAGTACCTTAATATTATCCCTGTATAACCTTCTTAGTCTTCAAAGTAGCAACTACCAAAAAAGTTATTTCTTGTTCCCTCCAACTGAGCTACATGCCTAGCCCAACATAAATTCCTCGAATTGACTACCATGACAATATTAAGTGAAGGGTAAAAATCAAGACATTCCTCATTATATAACATCTTCAAGATATCAAGCATGGGCCAGAAACAAATATGACTGTCCCTTCGTCCACTTCAACTTTAGGAACAGAGAATAGTCACACCATACACATTACTGTGCTGCATGGTGTTTATTTTTCATGCCAGGAATTAAGCCTTTGTCACATAATCACTTTATTGACTAAACTATGCTGAAATATGCCTTAACAACCCACTGCTATGCTTTGATGGGTGTGAAACAGATGACTTTTGGATGGTATAAAGAGTCTTTACAACCACAGTAAGTCCCTGTTTAATGTTCCAGTTAACATAGTTTCATTATTACAATGACACTGTTTTCATACCAAGGTTCACAAAACGTGGTGTTAACTTGTTATTATGCCACTGTGGGATTCTCGAGGTTCCAATAGACAACCACTTCAGAAAGTCTGCGGGCCCTGAAAAGGGCTGTTTGTTCCTTCGTAGTAGGCCAAGTCTTACGGCCGTGATGTAGTGCTGCATGCGCCGGTAGAAACAGCTGCCCACAGTGTGGTTGCTGGAGTTGCAGTAGCTGCGTTAGTTGCCTGGTTGCTGGAGACTTGCGGCAAATATGTCGGTTGCCTGGTTGCAGAGCATGGTCGCTGGAGACTTGCGGCAACTACGTCAGTTGCCTGGTCGCGGTCGCTCTGAACTGAATGTGATCACTGACGATCGCGAGCTTTAGGCTCCGCCTCTTATACCATGCTTGATGGGCGGAGAGAAACTTGCAGTTGCCATTGTGAGCGCTGATTGGCTAGCGCATGTGATGATCTAAATGTGGGAGGGACAGTGAGTGCTGTATAAATACGAGTGCTGGCAGCAATGTGATTGGTTAGCGCACGTGATCATGTAGAGGTGGGTTGGACATCGAGTACTGTATAAATATGAGCGTTGCCAGTAATATGCGGCATTGACCAAGGAGTGAGTGTTGTCTGTTAGACCAGCGAAACAGCATGTAAGTATGTGGGATGTTCCCCACCATTGTTCAAAGTGAATGGAGAGGCAGCCAATGCTGATACAATTGCTGCAAACAGAGTTTAAGAAAATTTTCAAAGAGGAAAGTTACTCTCCAAAACAAATGTTTCAATTTGACAATACAATATATCATACTAAATGTTGAATAAACATTACTGTAGTTTATAATTTCATGTATACTTTGTATTTACAATTGCATCCATAATGTCTACAATATAATGCATGTTATGGGTTGAGGAAGGGCTGTGGATTGTAATCTAATTATTTCTTTAGTTTCTTACGGTAAAAAACTGATCAGCTTATTGTCATTTCACATAACATCACTGTTTACAAGAATGTAACTATGACATTAAGCAAGGGCTTACTGAATGAAAGACAAAATGGTTAATCTATGAAAAACAGACATAAACCCCTATATAACGTCTTTTGGTAGACCGATATTTCCAGATCCCTGAATTGATGTTGTATGGGTATTTTAATTAAAACATAATGAAATAGAATGCCAGATAATTATACAAATTCATAAGAAAATATAAATTAGGATGAAAGTTCTTTAAGCTTTGTCTTGCAAACAAACAGAACATTACACTGGTAATAAATGTAATCTATCACTTGGACATGATGGAATCTGTCGTGACTTATTCCACATAATTAAATGTGTTCTTACCTGGAATGACATCCACATACAGAACTTCACACAGGTTCCACATGAATTCAATATTGTAAAAGATTACTGCCAACTCCAAACATATTTCTTTGCTGGAAGAGTCATTTTTTGAAGCTTCAGACTGTAAATTCTCCAGGCAAGCTCGAACAATGGCCCTTAAGAAACATAAGATATATAATAATACATGGAACATCCACAACTGAATATTTCAAAACCTTCAACAATGGTGTAGAACATACATCACAAATCTGCTATTTGTAAAGTATGTTTCAGTCACTGGGTATGTCTTTAGAACACTAGCCAACTATTTATATTTGGATATACTTACATATCTATTAACAGACATGCAGCTGTAGTAATTTAATAATTAAAACAAAAACGTTTCCTTCAATTAGGATAACTTCTTTATTTCTGCAACTAATTTAAGTTTTGTGGGAAGTTAGGTTTGTTAAAATTAAACATCATGCTACCCAGGCCACTGCACTGTACTAACAGATATTATGTACAGGGCCTTCAAACTGAGCTAACAACAATTTGCAAACAGAAAAAAACCTCAGTCCGCAAGAGAACTATACCGACTGGGTGACCACTGCTTGTAGGCAAAGTTAGTGCCAACAACAATTTATGTGCTAAAATTCTTGTTTATTTCACTCTGTGTTTTTTATCTGCATCTTGACAGATATTTTCAGGGGTGTGCATAACAGTCTCCAACCTCAGGCCTAAAACACTGTGTAAAACTATCTTTAGGACTATGTATGATATGAGGTTCTCACAGCAGTGGTTACGAAAAGTTCCAGCTTCTGAGATATAACACCACTTACCCCACTGAAAGTCAACTAATATTTTGTATGAGCACATTACCCCTATCATCAGAGATGAAGAGGAAGCCAAGCAAGAAACCAGCAAGAAGCTAGCAGCAAGCAACAGACTACATAGCGCTATATCCCAGAAGATAGAATTCTTCATCTTAGGGACTGTTTTCTTCTTCTCACTAAGCGACAGCACTGCTTAGTGGATATGTTTTGTAATCTTCCTGCCAGGACTGTATCAGTCTTCTGTATCAAGTAATTGTATTTTGTAGTTATACTGAAGGTTTGTAAAAGTGTGTTGGAGCTGTTTTTTGTAGATGAATGACAAATCTGTGGAATGGAGAATCATTACCAAATTTTTTATAAAAGTGAATGGAAGTGTTTCAAAAATTTCTGACAAATAAAGCAGGTGTATGGGGATGAGTCACTGTCAAGACAATGTGTATCTAAGTAGGCCAATGGATTTTGGAAAGGAGAACAAACATGTAAGATGATGCATGGCTGGGACACCCACCAACTGCCTATCAAAAGGGTGAGAGTGTTAAACCAAACTGACTGACATTTGATGGAGGACCACTTAAAAAGGACACTGTCAGACTGATTTTATTTGACAGATGATGACTATGCTCCTGTACATGTGAGGCAGAAATAAAGAACTCTGCTGGAATATCTTCCCTATTTTCCCAGCTTGGTTCCATGCAATGTTTTCTTGTTTTACTGACTAGCAAATGCAATGAAGGTATTAATCTGCATCCCTTGCATTACCGGATGAGATCTAGAGATCGCTGACAGAAGTGCTAAATGGTCTAAAAGCAATTAGCTTCCAAGGGTGCTTTGGAACATAGCAGCGATGTTGACAAGTATGTATAGACTCCAAAGGAACTTCACACACAAAATTTTTTATGTGATAGTTTTTCACACTTTAACAATTATAGAGGTTATATTTGACAAATTTAATGTAGTCAGAAAATCCCAGAATTTATGCATAAAAATAGATCACTATATTGTAAGAAAAAAAATTTAAAGCTATCCCTGCAACAGGCCATGGTGGCCCACAGGATTGTGAGAAGTTGAGGCTCTCACATTTTTTAGACAATCAGCTCACAGATGGCAGTGAGGTTGTCAGCCTTACACACCAGCCACTCTTTACCCCCAGGAAGATTCCTGACACTCATTTCTGTTAGAGGCTGAGTCGGTCCCAGGGTCACAGTGTGGCAGGAAGGATTAGAGGAAGATGACGGTAATAAACCTGGACCAACTGAGTGGCCTTATGGAAGGAGCAGTGGGGTGGTTTGAAAGTAATCTCCAAGAGCACCAAGCCACAGGGAAGGAAGGCAAGACCAATCGCAGATGTCATAAGCACAGTCCTCAGAAGAGCAGAAATGGCAATATGCTGGTAAGCTATTCGGATGAATAACCTTAAGGAGGGAGCAATGTAGTGTGTAGACCCATTACTAGGTAGCAACCACAAAATAAACATGTTTCCACGGAAACGAGTCCATGAACAACATTAGAGGAACTATTGGAAATGGTGTTTCCTAAGCAGTCCATGTCAAGGGGCTATACAATGAGGACACCAGCTGAGCTGTAGTCAGTTGTAAGTCAGTCTGTGAAGAGAAGAGGAGGAGGTTAGTGTGTGATGGCTGCCAACCTGGAAATTAGTCAGTTGTAAGGGAGTCTGCAAAACAAAGATTAGATTGGTGTGAGATGACTGCCAGCCCTGAGGTTTGTTTGTGAGTCTGTGAAGAGAAGACACAGAAGACTATGTTTGCTGCAGTCACAGTGATCTACAAGGTGTGCTAACCAGTGAGGCTCTTATAGGTATGTGTAGCCACAAATCATGTGTTAAAGTGGTCAATAAATTTGATCATTAATCCAAATGCCGTCTACAGTCACACTCCCTCACATGACAATATTAAAGGGTCTGTCAAGTTTATGATATAAAGAATCCCATATTCCTCTTTATATTGTATTGCTCTCATTTCCCATATTTTACATGATATTCAATTAATGCTTATTTTTAATGGTCCCTTCAAAAGTGTAAAACTGAGATTTCACTTTATCTACAGAAAGAAAGGTGCCAAAATTCTTGCACATATTTTACAAGGTACAAAATAAAAGTAGGTCTTGACATCTATTATATATTCCCATACACTGGAGTGGAGATATTTTGAAGTAAGTATGCATACAGCCTGATTTTAGTAGCCTCTACCTGTACTGTCGACTAACTTTAAGTAGTTCACCCCTAATATCAGTTCCACCAGAATTTGCAACCAACTTCTGTCCAGCTAGGAAAGTTCCACTGGACTCATTAATAAGTTGGCGAGTAATGGGATGAAACAGCATCACATCGAATCTTATGTGATGAACCAGTGTTTTGCATGGTGCAAACTCACTAGCCTTGTCTGCAAAAAAGTAAAATACCAGTTTACTCAAAGTATGTCTTAATCACAAATTGTCAATGAATAATCCGTCGAGTGTAACAACTATACACCACCAAACAAATAAAACACAAACTAACACAAAATAACGCAACTGTAGCTGAAGCAGACAAAGGAAGAAAAAAAGAAAAAAAAAAACGTTGTTACACTCGACGGATTATTCATTGACAATTTGTGATTGATAGTGTAACGGACCAAATATGAAACAATTCAAAAAAATGTCTTAATATTGCAACTGATATCACTCTGCTTTCTCGGCATAATATGTTGTCTTTGAGTGACAGAATTACTTCCAGACCTACTTGACATGAACATGCTAAAACTGCAAGAATAAATATATATCAATATGCTGTTTCTTTCTGAGGTGATGAACGTGCATAGCTAAGATACAGATGGCAGCCAACTGCTGGCCCTGTTTATAGGATACCTACTTCATGATGTGTTATCTTCCTGTTGACACCAAAATGGTTTGATAACCACTGTTTCTACGGCATAACTGATGTTTGAAACAAACCACTGCTCTTATAGTACCTACGATGGGGTACCCAAAAGAAACCGAACTAATTTTTTTGTGGGCAGAGCTTTTGTAGTACCGCGTTTTGCCGCTATGAGCGCATAGAGCTAACATTCCTGAGTCGATAAGCCGACTACCGTTGCTTCAGAAGGTAAGGACTAGTTTCGGCAGAGTTTATAATGACGACTGTTTTGTGTGATTGTCATTTTTGCAATGGCTGATTTTCCTGAACAGCGTGCGGCGGTGAAATTCTGCATTTTTCTCGGGAAAAGTGGAACAGAAACTCTTGAAATGTTAAAAACGGGGTACAAGGACGATGCTATGGGGAAAACTCAAGTGTTTGAGTGGTTTTCCCGTTTCAAAAATGGTGAAATGTCAATTGATGACAAACCTCATTCTGGTCGTCCTTCCACGGCCCGAACACATGAAAATGTTGAAAAAATTCGTGAAATCATCAAGGAAGATCAACGGCGGACCATTGAAGAAATTGTGGAGCTGTCGGGAGTGACTTGGAGCTCAGTTCAGCATATTTTGACAGAAGATTTGGGAATGAAAAGGGTGGCTGCAAAATTCGTGCCACGACTGCTGACTGCTGAACAAAAACAAGGTCGCGTGGAAGCATGCTGTGCTTTGAAAGAAGAGTCCCAAAATGATAAAAACTTTTTTTTGTTTCCTCGAATGAAAAGAGACATGAAAGGAAAGTGTTTTGCTGATGTTGCTGAGGTGAAGAAAAAAATGACGGAGGCGCTGTCAAGCATCTCAAAAGATGAATTTAGACAATGTTTTGAAAAATGGAATAAAAGACTAGACAAGTGTATTAGTGTAAGTGGAGAGTACTTTGAAGGGGATTGAAGGTTTGTGCTTAAATTTGAATAAATAAGTTTAAGAAAAAATAAGTTCGGTTTCTTTTGGGTACCCCCTCGTATATTTTAACATATAGTAGGCTAATCCAGGTCACTCAGGCACATTACAGAGTATACACTTTTGAAAACAGGCACTTAGCAGGTTTGTGTAGTGTCCATGCTCTAGGCTCCTGTTCATGTGTTCAGTTTGAATCTCAGCTATTCTGATTGCGGATTTTCGTGATTTTTCTCACTCCAGCCAGGAAATTTCTGGGATAGTACCTTGATTAGGCCATAAAAGGCTCCTTCCTATTCCTTTCCAATTCACTGTTTACCAGTCATTCTATCATTTGACACTGTATAACATCATGTGAGAGTTGCGATTACTCTAAAGTATGGAAAAAGCAAACAAACTGGAGAGTAATGAAGGTGGTGATGATAATGATAACCACAATCATCAACTGTCTTCATAGACCAATTGCTAACCTCTCATACTTTCAGAAAAGCACATATTATGCTGGGATCAAAATTTTTAATAACCTCCATCTGATCTCAAAGGTCTTATGAATGAAAAAGCACGATTTAAAATAGCACTGAAACGATACTTGAATACGCACTCATTCTACTCTGTTGATGAATACCTACTGTCTAGAAAATAACTTATATATCTTTAAATGGCCTTGTGTGTAACCACTGTGTATTCCTGGTTTCTCCTGTGTGAGAACTCCATTGGTACTGTACATATATTTTTGTATTTACATGACATATTCTACATCCTACAGTCATTTTGACTAACTTTGTATTCATGGAATGCAATGCAATGCAAAAAACTATGAAGATTATCAACTCTATACAGTCTGAAGTACTGATAGACATTAAATAAACCACAACAAATACAAGGACTAAGTCCATATTTGGTCTATTCCATTAAATTTGCTCCAATCACTTCTTCCTCAGTCTCCAAACTGATGGCGGCATCCTCTTGACTAGTACTAGGTGGTTCAAATATGACCGGGACTGATATTTTTGTAAACAAGCCGCACTGCGCAGCAGCTGTGCGACCTTGAGAGAGTGAAGCCACAACCTCCACCCTCCCTCCTGTTTGGGTTAGAACCTGTTCAGTCCTGTCTGTGAGTTCCTAGAGTGATGAGCGAACAGAAGGTGCCGCGGAGTGTGGAAAAACGCATTGTGATCAAATTCCTCAGAGAAAATGTCCCGTCCCCTGAAATTCACCACAGACTCCAACAACAGTATGGGGAAGAGTGTCTCTCACGGACCCGTGTGTTTGAATGGTGTAAGTGCTTCAGAGAGGGCAGAGAGCGTGTGGAGAATGAACCGTATGATCGTCGGCCGCAAACATCCGTCACCAAGCCAAACATTGATCGTGCAAACACACTTATTCGTGAGAATAGGCGCATCACTATCAAGGAACTTGGAGCAATGCTGTCCATCAGTGTTGGTAGTGTAGAAGACATCATGAAATACCACCTGCACTATCACAAGGTGAATGCACGGTGGGTACCACGCACTTTGACGGATGTGAACAAAATGGTGTGCATGCAAGTTGCCAGTCGACTCCTACAGCAGTTTGAAGACAAAGGTGATGCATTTTTGAAGTCTATAGTGACCACCGACAAAACATGGGTGCACTACTTCATTCCTGAGTCCCAGCAATCATCACACGAGTGGCGGCATACCAGTTCTCCCAAACCCAAGAGAGCGCGGAGGAGCCGTTCGGCAGGAAAAGTGATGGCAACGTTCTTCTGGGACTGGCAGGGAGTTATCCATGTAGACTTTCTGACAGATGCCAGAACAGTCAACGCAGCTTATTACTCAGACCTCCTGGCAACAGACGTGAAGGAAAAGATCCGATCCAAGCGGAAGAGAGGTGGAAAGCGGGTAGCCTTCCTTCAAGAAAATGCACGCCCCCATACGTCCTTCTGCTTTGATTTATATAAGGTTTCTATCTAACCTAATAAAAACTAATCTAACCAAACCTAACCTCTGTGGCTCATGTTCAGCTGTTTGTCCCTCCATTCACTTGATATCTAGTTTTCCCTAGCTACACTATATAGGATACCACACCCTGTGAACCAGACACTCTTTAACAAAATTTTGACTTGCACATGTAGAAGCAGGCCCACATGCAGTACGTCATGAATGCATTTGATCAGACTATTAGTAATCCTACTGTGTTTCTGATCTTATTATGCAGTAGATTATTGATGCCATTGTTTAAGAATAAAATTCAATTTTCTCCTTTTTAGTAAACAAGAAAGCCTGGGGAAAATTTTCCACATGGATTTCTTGTGGTTCACCTGTTTATTGAAAAGAACCGCTTTCACTATGTGTCTGTTACCAGGACCTATGATTTGACAAGACAGGCTAACCTTAATCACTGAATTCTAGTCCACAAGATTTTGTTTTGAAAGGACGTTCCACAATTGGCAAGCTTGCTTCCTTTGTAGTCAAGTGTAGAAATGCAAAAAAATGTTTATTTCAGATTGGAATCTCGCTCTGAAAAAAGTAATGAACTAACAGCCTAACAATTTACATTTCCTGCATTAATTACCTTGGGAATGAGCAGTAACATGACGGTAAGCATGTGCACCTAACTTATTGCTGGGAAACCAAACTGCTGACATTCCAGCACGCTGGCAAATTTCATCAGGTATCACCTGAAAAAAAGAAAAAAAAAAACGATTAACGCATTTCATACCGCCACCGGTTGTACATAACCTTTAATTAGTACTCATAAAATACATCTTTCTTACACACTATTAAGATTCAGACACCAATACTAAACTCAAAACATTTATTTTCATGGAAAGCATATCATTTTTACTTACGAATGTTCTTTCTTTATTCATCTTCAACTCTATACAAATGAACCTCCACACACGCCATAAACCACAGATTACCTATTTACTAACCAGGGATTATTGAAGATACTGACACACAAATACGGTTAACTAACGACCAAGGATTACTAAAGCTTGACAGAGGGGAAATTTGTCCTTTGCACAAGTGTTATCGCCGCTCTCCCAAAGGTTTTTGCATTTGGTGGTGCGGCCCAGTTGCCCTATGATTCAAATGATTCAGACCCATTGACAAAGATTTTGCGTTTAAGATCTCGGGCGAAGTAGGTCGCTCATTTCTGTTTCTATGTGGTATTTCTAAATTGTGTTCGGACTGTTCACTCCGGCAGGGAGGGGACTGGGCCTCACCAATACAACAGTATGTAATATTTTTTCATTTGCGGATGTTATAACGATAGTTTGTGATTGGTACCTGTAGCATGTAGACCCGTTACTGGGCAACGGTATTCTTCTTGTGGTCCGTGCCTAGCTGTTATATAAGTGGGGCCAGTTGCAAGCGACAATTTTTAATTTTGAAATTCCTCCAAAAACATTGAAAAAAAAGGCCTGATCAACGCAAGCCAGTTTGGTTTTCGTGCACGTCACAGCAAGACATTGCAATGTATGAGACTGGCGGAGCACGTGAACCTTAATTTCAACAATAAAATGTCTACAGCTGAGGTGTTCTTTGACATCGAAAAAGCCTTTGATACCACGTGGCAGTCATACTTGCTGTATAAGTTATCAAAATTGTAATTCTCGAACAGTTTGACCAAGCTTATTGGGTCCTTTCTCAACGTAAATTCAGGGTTTTGGTTGAAGGTGAAATGTCAACACCAAGGGAAATGCAAGCAGGGGTGCTACAAGCTTAGGCCCTTTCCCCTACTCTTTTCGATTTGAACATAAATGATGCCCCCTAAACACATGTTCACCTGGCCCTCTTTGCGGACAACACCTGTCTGTATCCGACAGGTCGCAAGGAGGGTGTCATTGTCAGAAAACTACAGCATGGTCTCAACTCAATGGATACCTGGTGTGAGCGCTGGAATATTAAAATTAATGTAGATAAGACTCAGGGGGTCTACTCTCATGGTCGTCTACCACCTGAGTCTTGCCTCACTCTAAATGAACAAAATATTAAATTTATAAATAGTGCAAAATATCTAGGCGTAATCTTCGATAAGAGAGTTATATGGAGATTGGGCATAGAAATGATCAAAGCCACGGCCACTGGAACATTCATTAGAGTATATTCCCTATTCAGAAGTGAGTGATTGAGCGCTAACATTAAACTGACCCTCCACAAAGCTCTTATTAGATCCATAATGACTTAGGCTAGTCCCACCTGGGAGTTTGTAGCAGACACCCATCTAGTGAAATTGCAGCGCAACTAGCAATTTTCCAAGGTGCACACCGGTCCACAATTTGCACATGGCATTCAAAATCCCATACGTATGAGACTATATAACAAAATTATGCAGGCAACAAGCAGAAGTCATACAAAATCATGATAATGAGAATGTTCGCAACATCGGACAAGGCGAAGCCTGACACAGAAAGTATAACAGGCTTAAACTTGGCAGCAGTCAGGCATATGACCATTCAAGTGACTAGACTGCCGTGGTAGCAAATACTACTAGAAATAGGGCATAGTATGCTGTACTCAGCCTAGACTGACAGAGGCCTTGTATATATTATACATACTAGATATTAAGACTCAATTGTAAATAAGTGTACATAGTGACAATGGACTAATACTATCAACTATGGCTGACAAATGACAGACTCAACCTCTCGTCAGAGAGGGCCACCCACATGGACAGGACAGTAACTTTCATTTAAAGAGTAACATCTGGTCATGAGCCATAGCCAGGGCTCGACACCAAGACAGACAGACTGACTGACCATCAGCTGCAATGTGACTTTGACTAAAGTGAAAATTTTCTAAGGTGCACACCAGTCCCTGACTTGCATACAGCTTTCAACTTTCCATATGTATATGATTGTATAACAAAATTGTGCAGACAACAAGCAGAAGTCACACAAAATCATGAGAATGAACATTTTCGCAGTATAGGACAAGGTGAAGCCAGACACAGAAAATATAAGATGCTTAAACTTGGCAGTGGTCAAGCTCACGACCGTTCAAATGACTAAGTTGTTGTTGTAGCATAAGATATATAAGTTAGGCATGATCTGCTCTGTGAAGCCTGTACTGACAGAGGACTTGTGTGCAGTGCAAAAGGAAGAATTTTTGATAACATTTTATACGTGTGAAATATACACTTGACAAAAGGTCAGGTGTATTCATAAGAGACAAACCCATCTTCTCAGCAGAGAGGATGTTACATAAGGACTATTACCACAAGAGTTCAGTTGGGAAAAAAAATCTATGGTCATGGGCCTCAAGGGGCCTGACGCCAAGACGAACTGATTGGCGACAAACCACCAGTCGTAAAGTAACTCTGACTCTGACAAAATCTGCTGTACTGAGCCTGGACAGAAAGATGCCGTGTATATACATTTTTAACATATTTAACATACTAAATGTAAACATCTTTTACATTATGACAAATGACTTACTACTGCAGACAATGGCTCTGACAAAAGACAGACCCATCCTCTTGTGAGAGGACTGTAACTTTCAAACAGTAATAAATATCTGGTCATGAGCCCTAGATGGGGTTTCAACACCAAGACTGACTGACACTGTCAGTCGCAATGTGACTTGACCTGGTGCAAGTGGTCAATGAGGAGAAGAGTAGAAGGTTGGTGTGAGATGGCTGCCAGCTTGGATCTTTATGTGTACCTAAGTTTGTTGTATCATCGGCGAATGTAGCAGTTTTTGTGTTGTCTAATTTTGGGAGGTCACTTGTGTAGACAAGATATAGGACGGGTCCTAAGACACTTTTTTGAGGTCTGCCTGCTTCAGTTTCCCTTAAGGTTGTGGCCTTGTCCTTAATTTTACTAGAAAGAGTCTATCTGTTAGATGATTCTAATAGTCTGTAATATGAATGTGAAAGCAGGTGAGAAGCAGAGCCACCTCCCACCTGCTTGCACACTGGTTTCTAGTTCGGCTTCTTCTTCTTCTTCAAACTTGAGGTTGGAGGTGACATTTTCCTCCAAAACATGGCAGTATATCCCAGAAGGTAGAAATCTTCATAATCACTGCTGTGAGAACTTCAAATCCTACAAATAAAAATTTGTTTTAAAAAAAAAAAAAAAAAAAAAAAAAAAAAAAAAAAAAAAAAAAAAACTGTTTAGATACATAATTATTAGGCCACTATTATTTTCTGCACATTACTTAGGTGTTCAGTGTATCAGTCTGAAAATGCTGTATTAAATATAACTAGTCCAACAGTTTTACACATAGTCTATAAATTCCATGCAATGTTAAGACCAGCTATCCATCCAACTGAAAGGAACTGAATTTCTGTAAAATGTAAAGTTACCCTTGTATCAGGCTACGGAGGCCCATAGATTGTGAGATGTCGAGGCTCCCACGTTTTCTAGACAATCGGCTCACAGATGGTGATGAGGTTGTCAGCCTTATGCTCCGGCCACCCTTTATCCCCAGAATGATTCCAGGTACTCATTTCTGTTAAAGGCTAAGTTGACCCCAGGGCCATGGTGCAGCTGGAAGGATTACATCAATTGAAAAATCCAATGCCCTCATCAGGAATTGAACCTCTAACCTTCTGGCTTGTAGCATAGTGCCCCCTTTCTGTTAGCAGTTTTTGTATATAAGAAGTGTGAAGCTTATCACTCACCTTCATTTAGTGCTGAGATTAAGAATTTTGGAGTTATGCCTTCACTCTTCCATATGTCTTCCTGGTGTAGTGCTTAATTATTTAATTAATTTTGATGTATAAAAGAAGTGAAGGAGAATTTATTTATTACACAACAAATATATATAACTAAATAATAACAATAATAAATGCAGCCATGAGATCATACAGCTACTTTAAGCAACAATAAATTTTTCAGCAGGGCATATTACAAGTTGTAGTGACACATTTTAAATTTATTATTATTCTTATCATCATCACCAGTACTGTTACAACTATTACTACTACTGCTACTACTGTTGAGTTTTTTGTTGTTGTTATTGTTGTTGTTGGTGGTGATGCTATAGTTATTGTGGTGATATTTCACTGGTTGCCAAGTCTGGATATAATTCTGCTGCCACAACATCCAATAGTGTGTAAACCAACTGCAAGTAAGAACATATAGACAAATGGGTAAAGTGTACCTTCCTACCATCATTAAGATAATTCCACTTTATTTCGACAATGATTTATTCTGACCGTCTTACGGTGCATACATTTATTCACCTTACTCTTCTCTCTTGCACTACATGTTTCAGCACTGAAGTGCCATACGTCATAAGGATGATAAATCCTGAACAGTTTTAATATTTTTAATATTTAAAATTTATCAATATATATGACGAATATATATTTTAGTTATTTTAGTATAAAGACAACAGGGCATGCAATGAAGTAGTTCGACGTGCATCGAAAAGCACCTGAAGATGGCACTTTAGTGCTGAAACATGTAGTGCAAGAGAAGAGTAAGGTGAATAAATGTATGCACTGCAAGACGGTCAGAATAAATTATGGACATAAATCAGTGCAACAGGACGCTAAAATATAACATTATTTCAAAAATCTGAAGGTCATCATTAGAGGGTTCTTCGTAACAAACATCAACCACCAAAAATTTACCTATTCGTATGTAATAATTAAGATTTAATCATACCTTTATAAAAAATAAATGGAGGTACATCATAAAATTAGTCTACATATGTGCAAAACTTTATATTAAAATCTGATTATATGCAATGTATTTCTTCATTACTGCAATGATCACACATTCAAATTTTGGATAAACATATTTACTTCAGAACCACCATATATCTTATAACTATATCTGCTAAAAGTTTCTGTATATGAGGGTTGGAACTTTAATAGTGGTAACTATTTATTTACAACTAATACAAAATAGATGCATGTTTCGAAGTTTTACTGTCCTTCAAGGTAGTCACCAGCACTGTGTACAACCCGTTGCCAGCGATGTGGAAGTTGTAGGATATCTTTTAACAGCGCCTGTTATGTTGATAGTTTGAATGGAGCGGTCTACTGCCTGAAGAATCTCTGGAACAGTTCTGAAGCGAATGCCACGAAGTGGTTCCTTCATCTTAGGAATCAAGTCAAAGTCACAAGGGCTTAAGTTCAGGAAGTATGGTGGATGGTATAGCACTTCCCAGCCCCATCGATTGAACAAATCAGCCACAGCTTGCCATTTCTGCATTTCTGTCAAATCATCCAGAACCCATCGTGATGCAATTTTTCTCATGCCCAGGCATTCCTTCAGAATGTGAAGCACAGTCATATGTGCTAATCCCGTCTCTCGGGCAAGCTCACAAATCATATGGCGTCGATCATTCTCCAGTAATGCGGAAAGAGCATACACTTCTTCTTCACTGACACTAAGATGACCTGACTGACGCATGTCTGCCACATTTTGGCGTCCCTCGTTGAAGGCTTGTACCCACCTTGCCACTGTTTTGTAAGGCCATGCAGATTCTCTGCAAGCCTCTTGAAGACCTTGATGACACTGTCGTGCTTTACGGCCTCTGGAACATTCAATCTTTGCCCAACTGTTCCTGTTTCAAAAACATCGTGACAACACTACATCAGACCGCCAGCTAACACGAGGCTCTGTTCTTCTTGTCACTGCGCATGTGCGTGATGTGGGAAGGGAGAGTCCATTTGCTCTGAGGTAAGGTAGGTATGTAACTAGCGTGTGGTATAAGCGACATTATTTGGTTCTGTTGCATGGCGTCTCTACAGCAGTGTTGCCACTATTAAAGTTCCAACCCTTGCATGTATTTCTTTTCAACCATTACCAAAAAATTCTGATTATTTGCAGCTAAATTCTTATACTTTTTTGTGTAAGTAATGCATTTTATCATAAACATGCTTCCAGGTCAAATTTCATCTTTTAATAAAGTCCTAATGAGCTTATATGAAGTACTGTCTGATCTATTTACAACTGCATGTCTCAATCTTACTTGCCATTTTTTTTAAATATTATGGTAATATGTAGGTCTGTCTAGCTGAATCTAATCATCTCAACTCACTACACTGATCTGCAGTTGACAAACAATCAATATTATATATGTGTCAAGTTTTGGAGATTCAGTCCCTGGTGACGGAGACAAACTGTTCACTGCTGTCTTCAATATAGCTTCCACTTAAACTAACATACTTTGTGAGAACTGGTAATTACTATGCTGCTCTAGATAAGGGACTTCCAAATTCAAACATATGGACCATCTTTCCGAGAGATTAACAGTCTACAATTCATACTACACAAGCACAGTCAATTCAGCTGAGTGGTGTTGCCAAGATTATAAATTTACCATCTATGTAGTCCATACCAAAAGTGATGAGCACATTTATTTTACATTAAAGTGAAGGTACATGTAAAAAAAATACTGTTTTGAGTTACTGGAGACGTCCTGTCACTCTCCCACAGAATCCCCAGAATGACGCAGTTTTATCTGCCAGCTCTGCATGAGCTTGACTATGCTGCTGCTCCTTTTCAGTATTTTGCAGTTTTCATAATGCTGGTCCCTCAAAGCGATCTTTTAAGGGCCTGTACAGGTGTTAGTAAGAAGGAGCAAAGTCTGGACTGTAGGAAGGGAAAGTACTTCAGAGCCAAATTTCTCCAGTGTCAGGCATACACTATCATGTTGAAAAATGATGCATCTTCTCATTGGGCCTACATCACAAAGTGCACACTACAGTTTCTGGAGCAACTGCATGTAATGAATTGCACTAAGAATTTACATTCTGGTCAGAAAGTCAACCAATACCCACCCCCTGACATCCCAGAAAACTGACCTTACGTTTTTGGCCAAAGGGTATGATTCTGGCTTTCTTATCTGGAGATGTAACATGATGCTATTTCATACGCTGTCATCTTGCTTCAGTGTCAAAATAGCACAACCAGCTTTCACCATTCTCAATATTAAGTAGGAAATCACTGCTCTTGACAGCACATCATTGCAGCACCTGTGATGACACATCCACGTGTGCTTTTTATGCTTGTTTGCCAATACATAGGGAACACAACAACAAATTTCCTGGTAAGACAAAGTCTTTATCACCTCCTGCTGTGCCAAGTGGTGCTCTGATTTCCCTAACGATTACCATTTAATTTTCTGTAATGACCACATCAACTTTCTACCTGTTGCATTCTGTGGTGGTGGTTCTTGGTCGACAGTTTCGAGGCAGACTGGTCTTCTTGTTGCCATCTTTGAAGTGTTTCACCCAAAGTCACACACTGTTGGCACCCATACAGGAACCTCCATAGACATGATAAAAGTTGTTCAAAGATATATGCAGCACAACTGTTCTCCTTTATAAGGAATCCAGTCATAGTATACTGCCATAACAATGCAGCACTCACAGCCATTTTGTCAGCGTGGATTGTGGATAAGTATCTGTGCACATGCACTGGACCTGTACTTCAGATTGTAGAAAACAGATACAGCTATCTGCCATATAACCCCCTATCTCCTTATGTCAGTAATGCATGCACAAACAAATGCTGCTCATTACTTCAGTATGGCCTTCATATTATGTGACAGACAGTGCAGGTGATACAGCTGTTTTTCATCTAAACAGAAGAGATATTTCAGCCAGATAACTTTGCTACCTACATAAGAAATGCTTCCTAACTGCATGTTGAAAACTAGAAGAACAATCCTACCTGCTTGTTCAGTGCGGGAGATTGTAGTGCACTGAAAAGAGTGAGTAGGCCTGCTTGATATGCTGGGCCAGCCCAGCGAGCAATATAATTAGGAACCAACGTCTGTAGCTGGGCTAGGGCTCGAGCAGCTCGTACCTCCAGCTCTGCCGGTGATGGTGTTGATCCTTTGGGCTGGAAAACTGCACCTAGCAGCAAATGCCACATTTTCACCACTGGTAAAACTTGAAAAATTATACAAAGTTCTGCTCACAAATGTAAAATCTCATTTGCCATTTTAGAGACATTGAAAGAGAAATCACCTTGTTATACTAGCTTAACATTAAATTATAATCTCTCACAAATGTGGAAATAATGATGTTCTCACACATCATCACTGAAATGTGAAGTTAGCTTTCTTCATAAAACCTCTACTGCATCAAGTGTTTTAAAACTATGGTAATTACTCTGAGTACTTACTTACTTACTCACTCACTCACTCACTCACTCATGGAGCTGAGCCCTTCTTGAGGAGATGCCGATTCTGCAGCAAGTCAAGAATTTCCCAGCATTTTATGGAGCCTTCCACTGGTCCCTATCCTGAGTCAGAACAATCCAATGCATACCATCCCATCCTATCTCTCTAAGATGTATTTTAATATTGTTCACCCACCTACGCCTTGGTCTTTCCAGTGGTCTCTTTCCTTCTGGCTCTCCCACTAATATCCTATATGCATTCCTCGTCTCCCCCATTCATGCTACATGCCCTGCCACCTCATCCTCCTTGATTTGATCATTCTAATTATACTTGGAGAAGAGTACAAATTATGAAGCTCCTCATTATGCAGTTTTCTCCAATCTCCTGTCACTTCATCTTTCTTTGGTCCAAATATTCTCCTCAACACCCTGTTCTAAAACACCCTCAGTCTATGTTCCTCCCTTTATGTCAGAGACCAAGTTTCACACCCATACAGAACCACAGGCAAAATTATAGTTCTGTAAATTCTAATTTTTATGTTTTTGGACAGCAGACGAGAAAACAGAAGTTTCTGGACTGAATGGTAGCAAGCATTACCAAGATCAATCTCCTCTTAATTACCTTCTGAATCAGGTTTCGATTTGTTATTGTTGTTCCCAAATATCTGAACTGTGCCACATTTTCAAAATGTCTGTTTCCTGTCTTTATGTCATGATTTTGCCCTGCATTCTGGTGAGATAGCAACATATACTTAGTTTTCTCTGTTTACTTCTAGACCAACCTCCTTATTTTCATCAAAGGAAGTTTGTGTGCTTTTCTTTATGGTATCTATATTATCATCCAGCAGATTCACATCATCGGCATAGACTAACAGCTGACGTGTCCCATTTAATTTCAGTCTCACCTGGTTTTCCTGGACCTTCCTAATGGCTAATTCTAAAGAAAAAAGTTGAACTGGAGTGGCGATAAAGCATCTCCTTGTTTTAGACCATTCTGGATAGAAAATTTATCAAACAAATGTTTACCTATACGGTCTTTACTATACAAGTACATTTCGTTTAAACACATTTTAATCAGCCTAACTAGTTTCATGGGTATCCCAAACTCTATCAGAATATTGTACAATACTTCCCTCCTAACTGAATCAGCAACTTTCTTGAGGCCTACGAATAGCTGATGTACTGTCACATTGCACTCCCATTTTTTCTCCAACATCTGATGAACGCAAAAGATCTGATCTATAGTTTATCTGTTACATCGAAACCCACACTGATGAGGTTAACTCTTGAGTACAAATTTAAAACAGTTTATCTTCCATTTATCTGGCCACTACTCTACAGATGGCAAGAGAATCTGACTTTTCTAGACAGTGTGCTTATAAAGCAAATTTGAGTGTTATCAGTCAGCCCATTCCTAGACCCATCTTACTTTAACCCCTGCTCCTGTACTTGACCTGGGCAATAAGAAGTCTTTCAATCAATAATGTTATTTTCTATGTCTAAGAGGCAGGTGTTACATACACATTGAAAACAATAAATGTTCATATAAAATACCTGCATGAAAAGTGGTTCTGCAGGAAAAGCAAGAGTAGATTCCGGTATAAATTTCAGGATGACACAGTTCCTCATAGAGGAACTATTCACAGAACTGTATATAAATCATGACACACACATAGTTATTACTGGACAAAACAAACCAAACTAAAACGTTCAGTGTTCAGTGAAGAGAAACTGGATGAATTGGATGGTAGGCTTGAAATTACTCTTTGGAAATCCTTCAGATGTCTTACGCAAGAGACTGGAGTTTAAAAACTGTAATTACGAACTGCCATGAAGTTATTTGTGAGAAAAAAGTGTGGAGTAAGAGGGACAAAAACCATTTTACAATTCAATGGAACAGGCCTTACTGATCTAACTCTACAAAGTTGTTGTTGATGATGAAGAAGAAGTGGTAAGTAATTTAAACATGAAGGATATGACTCCTAGAATTACATTACTCAGTAGCTAAATACAGCACAGTCTTTCTTGAGAAGATGGGAGTAGTTCAGCTGATCAAAAAATTTCCTGCCTTTTATAGGATCCAATGGTTTATTACTGTGTTCATAAGAGCCATTACTGAACCCTAATTTGAATTAAATAAATCAAGCACACGTGCTTACACTGTATTTCCTTGAGAACTCTTTTTACGAATCAAGTCCACATGCTTATACTGTATTTCTTTGAGAACTCTTTTAAAATTACCTTTCATATGTGCACAGGTCTTCCAAGTGGACTCTTCCCCTCCAGCTTTCTGGCTGAAATTCTGTATCAATTTCTTACCTTGCCCATATATAGGAATGACATTAAATGAAATGTATTCCCCTGTTAGTTATCAATATTACAATGAAACCGCAAAACAGAAGATAATGTGTAATAGGATAGCAGTACACATCTGGGGAAACAATTTCCTTGCATGGGTTCATCTTCTTAATGCTTTCACTGCCAGCACCTCTGCAGCTGACTTACTCCTAGTCTATTGTTGGCAGTATTATAGCAGTTTCCAGTATGTCATGCTAAAGAAATGAATAGAAAATGATCTACATATGTTCAAGCAACTGCAAAAGATAGCATCTTATGACAGCAAAAAAAAAAAAAATATATTCTCAAAACACTTTCAAAAAAGAAAGATTGTTGACCTTGTTGAAGTGTAATCAATGGCCAAACTCATCTGTGGTATGTAAGATTTGAGGTTTTCACAGCAGTGACTATGAAGAAAGCAGTCTTCTGGGATGTGGCGCCATGTAGATGTGGTGTTAACCGACGTTTCGGAGGAATGTATCGCCTCCATCTTCAGGGTAGAAAGAAAAATAAGAAAATCCACAAGTGAAGAAACAGTGAGAGCAGGTGCAAGGAGATTAATGTCGGAAATAAAATCCTTCTACCCTGAAAATGGAGGTGATACGTTCCTCCGAAACGTCAGTTAACACCAGATCTACATGGCACCACATCCCAGAAGACTGCTTTCTTCATCCATGATAGTTTCAACATGGCACCTCTAAACAACTACTCCTGTTCTTGGAAGTGAAAGTGCTAACTGTGCTGGTCTGCTAGTTCACATAAAATTTTACAGCATACTACCTTGAAGCAGTCTCACAAGATGAGCAAGTCTTGGAGCAATGAGAAGTTTCCTTAGTTTGCGATCCAAATAGAAACTGCAGAGTGCATTCACAGTATTGTGTGCCACTGCGCGGATTGCCATGGCCACCCTCACAGCAGCCTGTGGTGCTCCAAACAATCGCACAGCTTAAAACACATGCAGAAATTAGATTGCAGCTATTAAAATATAACACCAAGATACTATTCATTCTTCAGCAAACTTTAACAGACTTCAAAACATTTATCTGAAAGTCAAACTCTGTTGAAGTAAGAACTGGTAAAGATGCACAGAGTCCATAGTGACCTGGATGCTGTGACAGCGGGGATATACTTGTGCTGCAATTACAGTGCAACAAATGTAGCACCTACACAAAAAGACCAACCCCTCCTTCATCGAAGAGGAAGCCCAATTTTGAAACATATAAATGTTTAGGAGAAAAAAAACTTGGTCATGACTCTCGAGGAGACTGAAGTCAGGAATGACTGTGCTGGTGAAGCCCAATTGCAATTTAACTGACAGGCCGACTGGCTAAGAGCATCCTCTTGGAGGAGGGTTTGAATACCTCCAACATAGTCTTGTGGGTCAGAGGAGGCAACGAAAAGAAACCGAGCGCCTTGTTCTGGGAAATATAAATATAGGGACCTGGCCCTCCAGGCTGGGGGAGTCTCAAATCTGAGACAGTAAAATATGATCATGAGGCCTGAGCTGGTGAGGGCAGCAATCGTAACTGACAGAACTGTCCTCTCATCAAAGAAAGCGTCCCACATCAACATATCCGCAGCTGTCTGACAGTAATACAAATTTGTTCTTGAGCCCCAGATAAGTGCTTCATGCCAAGACAGACTGGCTGACTGACTGTCGGTCTTAACATAATTTTGACTTGGACTTTAGTTAAGACAGAGTCCTGAAATGACAGTTAGAAGAGTAGGCAGTTGGTGTGAGATGGCTGCTAGCCTGTGAGGACGTGAGCCCAGGAGCTGGAGAACATCCACTGTTGAAGACATTACCAAGCAGCACAGTGAAGACTGTGACTGAGAAGACTAGTCTGTGTGTGATAGTGAGTGTAGTCACAAGTTGTGTGTTAAAGTGTCCAATAAATCTGATTACCAATCCAAACCCCGTCTATAGTCACTCCATCACATGACATTATGTTAAACCATTTTGTACTATTTTTACTCATCACTCTAGAATATTCAAGGCAGAATAATAATTGTTAAATACTTTAAAATCTTATTTTTTATATTTGGTATATTTCTTCTTCTTCTATTTTGATCTTTTCCTGAATTTATGGGGGTAGGTGGGAAGATGCATGTGCAAGTTATATGTCACACTTGACTGACATACAGGTATATATAATACAAAAGTCTGTTTATTTTCATGCAACTTTATGAAATTTAACATGTGTTCACCATATGTAACCTTCTATACAAAGACCATTATTACAAGCTAGGTGGATGGCAAAGTCCAGAAAGTCACCGCTAATACCGCTGAACTTCTACCACTCAGCGAGCATTGATGACTGTTGTTAGTGCTGCGACATGTTTGATTTATGTGAGCGTCTAGTTCATTTCCCATTTGTTTCTGTATATATGTAATATAATCCAACACAAACATCTTCTTCTCCTCTTGAAGTTAGGCTACTAGACTGATGTTTCCAAAATGTGAGTCACTCCATGCCTACCTGTAGAACATCTGTCTCTTTAACAGTTCTTACAAATCTCTAGTGCCATTCTCGAAACATGCTCGTTCCATCTGTATCTCCTCCTCATTATCCATTCTCCAATCTCTTGAACACTATACTGTCATCTAATATTTTGGCTTCTAAGATACTGGAACCTAATTTTCCCCACTATTTATCTCACTGTTCTCACTTTAGTTATTTCCATTATTCACTTGGTCTTTGTATCTGGTCTTGTATCTACTGCAAAACTCAATATGGGTCTAATGACACTTCTGTAGCTTCTTACTTATGCTCTTGCCATATTTATTATTCCATCTGCATTGTTTAAATATCCTGATAATCTAGTTTCTTTATTTACTTGGTATCTGACTTTTGTTTGCAAAGTTCTATTACTAGTTATCTCAGATCCTAAATAGTGACAACTCATCATGTTTGATGATGATGACTACGAATATGTAATCTTCTGGAAAGGATACTTCCTGAGTTTCTTCTGGCTTATTTTCGACTTCATCCATCGTCTGGTATGTAAAAGACAAAAGACCACGACGTTTCGGACACTGGATCTGTCTCCGTCTTCAGGTGGGTAGAAAATAAGCCAGAAGAAGTACAGTATACACCATCATCAGAATCCTTTCAAGTCTATACTTCCTGAGGTTATAGATGGACTGTAATTCAGTGAAGTTCTATGATATTCAGTATATGAGGCCATTTGTTACTAACGCTTGATAGGGGTTGAGACATGTAGTGGGAAAACAAATACCATGTAGCACCTGTACAGATTGCATAGACACTTTCATAAATAATTATAATTTCAAACATGTGAGACATTGCAACCCTGGATTTCATACACAGGCATATACATTCTCTTTCATATATGAAGTTGTAGAGTGTCATTTACACCAAGAAAATGTTTCCATAGCACTCACCAAGGTACAGGAGGCAATCAAACACCCCCTGAACAGGCAGACTACTATTGGAAGGTGATCTGGTGGTAGACAGAGCAAACAGAGGTTGACTGCTTGCTACAGCAAAGTTATTCTGGAATACTGTCTTGGTAAGACAGCGGACTTTTCTTGGGGTCTCTACACTCATATCTTTCCACTCATACTTGCTATAAAAAGAAAAATATTATATAATAATACAAGTAGTGAAGAGAAAAAAATGTGTATGTTAACAATACTTCAGATACCCCAAAGTGTGAGATTCAGTGGACTAATATTTTTGACAATATTATACAAGCTTAGGGAAAAAAAAACTTAAAATTGAAGGCTTATTTTGACTTGTATGGTATCTTTCCATGATGCAAAAATTATTTACAGTACTCGTATATGGATGTTTTTGACATGAAGAGAAACATATTATACATAACTTTTATTTTCCAACATCTGATTTCCATGCTTTTTCCACAGAGGGGCTAATATTAAGTCAACTGACAATATTTGTATAGAATGTAAATTTCTATTTTTTCTGCACTGGTGTTTCTAGGTTTGGTTGGCTTCGCTTATTTTTGACTTCCTTCCTCTTCTTAGCTCCTGGTGTTCATGGGTATTTCCTCAATTTTTATTGTAAATATTCTTATTATCTCCTGTTGATAAAGCCTGATCCTAGGTGCAAATATGGATGTAAAATTAATGATCAAAGGTAACCAGTGATTGAGACTCACTCTTTCTAATGGGCTGAAGTGAGAAGTACCCCCCCAACCCTTTAATCACATGAAAGATCCAGTTTCTGAAATGTATCATTCTTTCAGGATACTAGATGATGGACAAAGTCAAGGAACTCAGCAATCTCAAGTACATTGTGACATGATGGGTGAAAGCTGGAATAGCTGAACAAGAAGAGGCAGCCATTGCTAGGCAAAAGCGCAGTTAACACGTTTTTGCAGCAACAAATAAACACACAACTACAGAGGATGCAGTGTTTTCTATGCGGTCCTTGTCATGGACCAGCAGCAGACAGAGAGACCTGTCCTCTCATCAGAAAGGGTGTCCCAAATGAGCAAACAAGCAACTGTCTGACAGTAACAAAAATCTGGTCTTAGACCCAAGACAGGGCTTGGCACCAAGACAGACTGGCTGACTGACTGCTGGTGGTACCATAACTCTGACTCTGACAGGCCAGTCTTCAGTTGCACTGTTAGCAGCCACTACCTTGTAATGACTAGTAAACACACAGAAGGCTTTATGTGTGCTGTAGTTGTAGTGTCTATAGAATGTGTAAATCAGTCAGCCCATTACAGTTATTCGTAGTTACGAGTTATAAGCGTTCAATAAATCCAATTACTGTTCTAAACCCTGTGTCTAGTCACTAACATATGAGAATACAATTACAGTCTTCTAGTTCTCATGCATAATCTTTGGTTAGCCAGCGGAAAAAGAAGAACAAATATAGGAAGACGTCATGGTGGTACAGAAGCTGCAACAGCAGTAGGTCATAACTGTTATAAAAGAAGTAGCAGTGATTAAAAGAAAGTATGCTTGGTCAACAACCTTCATCCCAGTCTGGTGTTATGTGACAGTAGTGTGTAGTGTAACATACAAGGACCCATCGCATGGCCCATAATGTGAAATGAACTCTACTAGTAATGGAACTGTCAGCACATACACACCCATGTGAGAGGCTGCATTATAACATTACAATTATGCTAATACTATGTACGCTTCAGTATATAAGCATATAACCTGGGCTTTGTTTTGCTGCCCTCAGTTGAGGCTATAAATGCATTCAGGAATGTATCAAGATGTTGTCCCCTCTCTTTGCGGAGCCGTAACGGGACTGAACGTCGGATCATGCGGCCCAAACCCTCAGGCATGGCTCCTGCAATGCCTCCAGGGCCTGCTGGAACAAACTCCCCTGAGGAGCGTAGGAATGAATGCAATAGATCACTTCCTCGCAGTGTAGGCTTCTGAAGAAGACGCTGCAGAAATTCTTCAAATACCTATTTCAACAGGATTTTACATTAGAAATTTAAAGACTGACTGCATTTTGTAGAACCTCTCCATCCAGCCACCAATCATGCAACCTTTACTGTCTGACATCATAAAGTGGGTTTGAAGTATAATACTAATGGCCATTATGTAGCAGATCTAAAATTGTTCCTCCAGTGAGAACAGATACTGCTGTCCTGTCATCTTTAATTTATAACTTCATATCTCTTAAGTCTAGCAGGTGTCTAACACTGAACTTAACATTGTTAAAATGATTACCATTTCTGCTTCATATGTGAGGCATTCAAAGTTTGACCCTTGGCCTAAGTTAATCCAGGGGACATCACTACCTGCACTGCTTTGCTACACCCGTCTAAAATGATGGTGGTTCCTGAACACCTGCGTACTTTGCTACATGACTCTGCTCTGCTACAAGCATGAACACAAAATCAGACTACAGATTTCATGTAGGGACTGAATCTTTGTCCACTAAATTCAGGTAAAACTTCATAACTCAAGACACAGTAAGACAGGGTAATATGTGGATTGTGTGTATGGGGCTTTTGCTGGGACTCCAAAAATATGAACACTAAGTGCGGGAAAATCTTAAATCGGGTTCCCATTGTCCTTGTATTCCTTGTGTTATCCAGTCATTCTCTATTTTACCTATACTTCTATATTGTACTGGAATTCTACCTTCAAAGATATTTACAAAAGTGTATAAAAATTTGTTAAACTTATGGTCAGTATTCTTTTCTCTGAAAACAGATTCCTATGTCCCATTTTCATTCCTACAGAGTTCAACCTGTTTTTGATCTCAACCACATTTACATAAAATAAATATGTCAGGCCGTTTGGCAACACTATGAATTTAGAATGCTATAAATTTCAAACTATTAAGTAGCCAAGTTACAAAAAAAAATATGCTACAGATAAACTAGAGCATTTGGTTAGTAACAGTAACTAATCCAATATTATCTATTTTCCTTAAAACCAAAAGGATATGCAGAACACACAGACCTGCTTCCTATTCAGTCATACACTCATAAACAGAACAGAAAAAACCTTACACCTCCTGGTCTGGGCACTCGTTTAGTATTTTTTGAGAATATTTAACTTTTCAGAAGTCTGTGATACAGATTTCATGGTTCTGCAAAAATCTGAATTGTATCGCAGTCTAGACTGATGACCTTAGACATAATGTCCAATTTCAGCATGTTTGCTGAAAGCAAGAAACAGAGAAACAGCTGTTGCTAGTGAACAGCTTTGAAATAACATCTGTATCTAGGCAACAGCTCAGTAAACATGTTCCCATGGAAATGGATACACATGCAACAATACAGGTACTGCTGGAAACGTTTTATACTTGGTCAGTGCAAAGAGGTTATAAGGAAAACAACTGCAGCAACTGAGTCAACCCTGTATGGGAGTCTGCGAGGAAAAGTTCAGTTGGAAGGAAGCCACTGTTCAGACAGGATTTTAGTGTGTGAAGCTGAAGAATCTCCAGTGTTGGATGCCACTGCCAGGGAACAGCTGATGAAGACACAGCAGGCTGGAAGAGACTTAGAGGGTTCTGTGGTGATTTGTGAATTATGAAGATTAGTGCTGGCATAAGTGGTCAATAAATCCAATCTCAAATCAAAAACCCTGTCAACATTCACACCCTATGTGTGACAATATCATATGTCAATATACGGTCCACTTATATATCTATAGAGAATCTGAGCCATCAGCATTTGTATAATTTTCTTTCTCTTAGCTGGTGTCATGGGACTGAGGGATACTGCTTATGAACAATCTTATTACCAATATATATGAGACAAACTCCGTCTTAAGTGCAACAATTTAATTGTAGTTCTTTCTTCTTTCCCTCCTCCACACTACGTTTCGGCCCTAAATGGCCATCACCAGGTGTGTATTCTTACGTAGCTGCTACACTGCCCGTAATTTAAAATTTAAAATCACCAGTCTTTCCAATTGCATGTATGTATAAAATCTTTGTTCACCTGCATGCGTCAATTTTGATTTCTAAAATTGGAACTTTTTTAAAACTTCAATTCAAATTAAAATATCTATAAATTTTCTGTTCTTTTTCTTTTTCCAAATTTTTAAAATTTTCTTGCGGTACACGCCCTATGTCTATAGTGCTGCAGCGGCCACTTCTTGTTTTATCGCTGTTCAGGTATTGTTCTGTGTAGGCTCTCTCTGTAGGGCGTGTAGCCCGAGAAAATTTTAAAAATTTGGAAAAAGAAAAAGAACAGAAAATTTATAGACATTTTAATTTGAATTGAAGTTTTAAAAAAGTTCCAATTTTAGAAATCAAAATTGACGCATGCAGGTGAACAAAGATTTTATACATACATGCAATTGGAAAGACTGGTGATTTTAAATTTTAAATTACGGGCAGTGTAGCAGCTACGTAAGAATACACACCTGGTGATGGCCATTTAGGGCCGAAACGTAGTGTGGAGGAGGGAAAGAAGAAAGAACTACAATTAAATTGTTGCACTTAAGACGGAGTTTGTCTCATATATATTGGTAATAAGATTGTTCATAAGCAGTATCCCTCAGTCCCNAATAGTTTGTGAAGTATCACTGACAGTATACATTAGCATAAACTTCTGCAGCAATTTATTCTTCATTCTTTGGATTCCTTTCATGCCCCCATAGTCAAGTACAGTACAGCTGAAGAACTGTCACAATTATATGAATTCATCATGAAGCATATAAAAGAAAACAAGCTTATATTTTGTCTGCAGGCCTTATCAAATGAAGTCAGTGTTCTAAACCCTTCAGTTTATGACAGTTGACATTCCATAGAAAACTGAAGTTCACCCTGATTTCGTATGGTGAAATATAATGGGCATTAGGAGCCTAACAACACATGTGACAGAGAAGTTCTCCCCAAACCGTACACATCTGGATAAGAAACCACTGTGTTCACTATGACTCATGTCTGTCTATTCCTGTTGCTCTCACTTGGAGAACAGGGCATACGTGAAACGCTTCGTTTCACTTCAATTTCTTAATTTTAGACAGTCAGTAGGACTTCTCAGATGAGGGATTAGCCCATCACAAGGCCACTACCTACACACAAAAACAGAATAAACACAGACAAACATCCATGACTTGTGAGGGATTCAAACTCATGATCCGAGCATTCGAGCTGCAAAGACATTTCATGCCTTAGATTGCGCAGCCACTGCAATTGGTTATGACCCATATGAAAGATGCTAAAATAAGCTACATATGGTTCCCTCTACAACCTTTCCACTTGATAATTTAAAATTAACCCATCGTCCAACATTATACAATTTGTGGTGTTTAAGAATGCTGTTAATATACCAAGATTCATTCAGTACAGGTCCTTCGAAATGTCAATATGCCTCCAAAGCATGCAGGATATTTTGGCTTGTCACTCATGAATTTAAAACAAGACAAGACTAGTGTTTACAAAGACAGAGAAACATTTGCAATATGATTTAATTCTTCATTATATTGCTAGACCCAGTAAAAATGATTCTAATATTTTAAAAATAGAGGAGACATGAGCATGAATACCTGCCGTTTAGATTCCATAAATTCAGTGCCACGTGGACCAAAGAAAATGCGCTTGGGAGGCAACTGAGTATCAGGAAATTCCCCATGAAATTCAGTCAGTTTTGACTCCAAAGTGTAGAAGTCATGGTAGCGACGATCAACTGTCCAATGGTACAACTCTGGATCCTCTGGTATAAAAATCACATATCACATTTTATTAACAACTAAATTCTTCACTCAAATGTAAAGAGATGTGTCCACTAAAGTTTGGACTCTTACAGCAAATGCTACAGACTGAAGTCCTGTGCCACTCATCTGAGATCTGCTGCAGCATTTGGAAATTCAAACGAATCAAGAGAGTGAAGGGCCTTCTGTAGATGATAAAGGACTACTGTTTCATACTACAGGTTACTTTTCTGCTGGACTTACTTCTGGTCATTACTAAGCAATGCACACTTTTTCACACAGAAGACCAATATTGAGCCACGTAAAAGTACATGCTGAAACTGCTACTTATTTCTTAGAGAAACTGGAATATACTGTAGCACCACAAGGGAGCATTTCAATGACAGAAGTACTGCAAAGCAATTCTACTGACTGGAATAACAGAGGCAAAAGCAAAATTCAGGACAGACATAAATAGACTATTTAAATTAGGAACAAAAAGGTCTTGAATGAAAGGTTTTTCCATATCACCTGTGGAACATCTGCTGCCCATTCAATAACTGGCAGTATCTTGTAGCAAACTGGCTCTGAACTAATAAGTTTTGATGACTCAGAAATAAAGATTTGCACTTTCCAGTTTCACTACCTCATTTCAAATCATTCATTTGAGAAGACTACAGAAGCCATCTTCAATGAGTACAACCAATGCAGTGAATGAAGCTTGAGGACTTACTAACATTTGTTACAAGAAAAGAGATTCACAATCCTCAGAAAGATAATATTGATAACTGTTGTCCTTGAAAATGATACAGCTTCCAGTTAAAGAGGATCGGGCAAGATGAGCTTTATAAAATATAAGTTCAGGTTAGCGTTGGAAGACAGTTCAAGCAATCTGCCAATGATAAAACTAACGGACCACCAGATGAAGTGTTGCAAGCAGAACTGTACACCACATAAAGGATGACATGTCACATGTCTGCAGCTTTCTCATCCATGGGTTATTTAAAGATGCTTTCCATATCCAGATTGTAAAGTGTCAGATGACAGGATGACTGATTAATTATAAAGGATCTCACAGGAAGAAGTTGTGACCCAATTGAGGTACTATCCCAACACCCCCTCCACATGCATGCACATGCCTTGACACACATTTCTTTACATCCCAATTTCATTTACCTTCTGATTTCACATCAATTCGTTGAACATCAATGTTAAACACTGGGTATGGTTTGTTGTTTGCATCCTGGCGAGAATCCACACATGGAATTGATATTCTCCAAGCACTAAGATCTCTGTAAGATTCTGATGTATCAGATAACTGAAGATCCTCAGCCTGTGAATAAAGAAAAATATTTAACGATGCCTTCGGCAGCTCAGCCTATATAATACGAATGACAGGATGATTACAAAATATGAACCGGAAAGAACGAGGAAGGAAATGGTTGTAGCCTAATTTCAGGTATATCCTCCTGATTTCCTACAGTAACTGAGGCGGAAAGTTAAAAAAAAAGGAAAACTCAAAGACTAGTTGATCTAGAGCCTTGAACCAGGCTCCTCATGAATGAAGGTCAGAATCATTACTGCTTGACCTAATTTGCTCAATTTCTATGTCCACTTCTAGATTTTCTACAATAAGTCACTTCTGAGAAAATCCATATGTTCAATCAAAGCTTAATTAAAAGTGGGACCAGTTATACTACACCACTATCAACCAGTTAAATTCACTAACAACATTCAGTGCAGAACCTCAATACCAAAGATTTATCAAAATTCATCCAGTAGTTTAAGAGCTGAAATATGTGGACAGTATTTCCCCTGCGTTCGTTCAATTCAAGTGCTTCGTACAACAAATGCACAGCATTACGTCTACTGTGATATTAGGGGAACGTGAGTAATGACATCTAAATAACGTGTGTAATGATGGGCACTCACAAATTCAGTCCCAGCCAAATCCAGTGTTGAATTAGTATCGTATGCATGCCCCTCTACAGGCTGCACTCGCAGTGCCCCCTTGATTTTGTGAAGTCGACTGCTCAGGCGAGCCACTGCCCCACCATCACTCCACTTCTTTGTTGACCTATAATAAAATTGTAAAGACATGTAGATACACATGCTATATACTTCAATTATACCAGCAGATCCTGCCATATAACTTTCTGAATTGACATGGCAGGAGATTTATTCACAAAGGAAAAGTACAAAATTAAGAACACCAGTGATACAAATATATAAATGAATTACTGTATAAAACACACCATGTGAGTAGTTACTAATGGGTTATATTGCAACAGGCTTTTTGTTTCATGAACAATTATATGCAGGGTTTATATTTATATAAACCACTAAAATTAGGATTATTTCAAGCTCCAATAGTACAGAAGCCAAATTAACTCAGAACTGCTAATGTAACTGCATAAATAAAGAAAAAAGGAAGTTTAAAATGTTCTTAAAAGAATGAATCAGGCATTACCTTCCTTTAGCAGGAGATCCTTGCAGCATAGGAGAACTAACAGACATGAATTTAGAATATAATCCAACATGATGGCTATATCACAACATGCTTTATTAACAATTCTGATGCCATACAACAGGCTCTCAATTATGTGTGGTAATGAAAGGAATAAGCAATATGAATTGTTACACACCAAATAACAGTGAGAGATACTGGGATAGTAGTAAGTCAAGCACAAGTCTGTCAGCTGGGTAGGTATGAACACTTAATTTCCAACGCACAATATTGAGGAAATCAAGGAAAGTGAGAGGAAATTATATCTGGAAAATGTTTGCTACCATTCAGTTCAGTGTCATTTGTCTTCCCACCTTCCATCTAAAAACATAAAGATTAGAGTACACAAAAAAATTAATTTACTTGCTGTTTTGCAAGTGTATGAAACTTGTTCTCTCACCCTAAGGGAAGAAAATATGTCAAGGGTGTTTGAAAACAGGGTGCTGAAAAGAACATTTAGCCTAAAGGACCGGAAGTAAAGAAGGCTAGAAAAAACTGCATAATGATCAGCTTCATTACTTGACCCTTCATAAAATATTTTTAAAACAATCAAAGTATGGAATATGAGAACAGTGGGGCCACATGTAAAGTAAAAAAAAACTGCATACAGAATTTTAGTCAGAAAACCTGATGGAAGAGATCATCTGGGAGAACTAGAGAGATGGTAGAATATTACATACAATGGATCTTAGATGAACACAGTATGAGGGTATGAACTGGATTCATTTGGCACTGGATAGGGTCCAATTATGACTCTTGTACATATTCATTCATTCATTTCCTTTATTTTCCATATATCCATACAGGCAGTTAGTTAGTTATTGGAAAGGGTGGGTTTCCCCATGCACTTAGACCTGTATTGGTCCATTGTGCTTCCCTCTATGATTTCTACCAGTCTCTATATCCTACCGGTACTGGTGCTTACCATCAGTCCTGCCCAGCCAGCGAGACCGGCTCTACTAGCTGAGAGGTATCTATAATGCTTCCCCCATCTACCAGAGGTATTAGAGACTGCTGTTGGGCGGGAAACGTCCGTNACAAACCTAGGGTGTGGAAATGGTCCCTTTGAAAATAGATACATCAAAATACATATATAAAATTACACAAGTCACATAATCAAAATCACTTACATTAATCGATTAACATAAATAATAATATAAAGTAAAAATTTAATAAGATTTTAATTAATAAACATAATTAAAACAACTTACTATAAAACTTGAATTAATACAATTTTATTTAAATTACCTATATTAACTGAATTAAATACATTACAAATTTACACACTTATGACCAATTATGTTGATAATGTTCATTCATGGAATAAAAAGAATGATATAAAAACTTCTTCAATGCAGATTTAAAACTTCTCTCATCAGTAGCCAACATTTTTATTGTTTGATGAAGATGATTAAAAACTTTAATACCTGATATGTACGCGCCTTTACTGTAATTATTATGGTAATAAACATTCATTCCAAAACAGGCAGTCAATTTCTCAGCCAGCCAAACAATATTATCTTCTCAAGGATTCTGCTTCATGGGGTTACTAAGAACTGAAATAAGTTTAACAACTCTAATTACCTCCCACTAACTACAGATTGCTCTGCAATTATTGGCAGTATTTATGATTGAATGTGTGTGTGTGTGTGTGTGTGTGAGAGAGAGAGGGAGGAGGGAGAAAGAAAGAGAGCGAAAGCATATAAGTACTTAAGCACCCAAGCACACATGGAAATAAAGTGAAAAAAGTGTAGAGTTAAAAATACACAATAACATGAGAACTATATAGGTTAAATTTCCCCTAAAAACGATACCAAAACCAAAACGACTCCAGCAGGAGAACAAAACAGAGTCAGTAACACTTGCCCACCCCTGTATCATGCAAGTCTTAATGATGCGGAAGTTTGCTGCATGTGAATGACAAGGGGCTACATTTAAAACTGATATTAAGACCATTTCACTAATTAAGAATGACCTGTAGTTACATGTGTGTAGTTAAAGTGAAAGCAGGACACAATTTCAAAAAGAATACAGTACTTGGGTCACAAACAATATTTGCTGATATTTCTTGTGACTTTCAAGTTTCTCTATGCAAAGGCTAGGACAGTAACTACTTCCTTCTTTCACAGCGGTATGCAACCTATAAAACTACAGACACACTCTTAATTAATCAAGATGCAAACAACAGAATACTGACCTTGATCCACTTTTACTATAACCACTAGGCAGCCTCTGTCCACACAGGAAGATGAAGTACTGTTAGCAAATGCAAACAGAGATGGTCAGGAAAGTATGAGTCACTAACAACTGATATTCTAAAACAGAATTTTAACATGAGACAGCTTTGCCATTACATTTGTATTAAACCTGGATTGAAAAACCATCCAGCATAAACAATTTTCATATAAATAATCCAATATTCATATGGCCTTAGATGTTTTGGTCCTTCTGGACCATCTTCAGAGGCTTAACAGAAAAAGAACAAAAAAGCTCTAGTGTTGTAGATCTTAGCATAATTATATGTTATATTACACATCCAGTGAATTTTGGCAATTTTCTTGGAGTTTTTATTTACAGAGACTCCATATGCAACTAATATTCTTGAAATCGATGTCAATAGTAACATGTTCCAGAATTGTTTGTTGAGTAATAATTCAACTCTGCTTCCCTATTAACATCAGTAGACTTCTTCATATAAAAATGATTATGAAACAATGATCATGATCTGCTTTGCATTTTATTTTAAAATGCTGCCAGTATCTTATACTACAAAGAATTGAATAGTAGCATAATATTGTATTTCAGCACCCTCTTGCACTGATTGAAACTTTCAACCCCTATCTAATTTTAGTTTCTGCTTCCTGTAACAGGGTCACAATATATAATTATAGTCTTATATATGCCAAAATATGTTGTATTAACAGTGAGAAAAGTGAATAGAATATGAAGTGTGACAACAGCCACACACCTATCAAAACTCTACAAAAATTTGCATAAATAAGAATGATTAGAGAAAACTAAATTCAAAGAATATGAGAGGAAGCAGTCATGGTTTGATCTCGATATTAAGATACCTACTATCCCAACATTCACTTGAATGGCCTGAGAGAAACCACAACAGACATCAATGAGGATAGGTGGTGCTCCAGGTGAGATTCTAACAGCGCCTCCTAAGTAAAAGTCTAGAGCATTACAGCAACACCAACCTGCTCAGCATTATGTAGAGTGAAAATACAAGAGGCAAAACACAAGAAAATGTATGCAATCATAAGATTTCATGACCACCAGTGTATTAGCAATCATAGCTAACCAAACAACTAAATTCAGACAAATGAAGCTCACTTTATGCATTCAATATACAAGAGCTCCGTTACTAGATGGCTTACATTACACACGGTTAAACTGTATTATGCCGAAACGCATATTTTTATTACCCATAAGGAAGCAAGATTGTCTTTTATGTACATTCAAAGCACTATATACATTACTGATTTATTCTCAAACAAAGAACAAGAAGTTTATTGAAGAGCTTATAATGCCTACTTTCTCTTTAAGTGCCTCATTCTATATGGTGACTCCGGAAATAGCTACAAAATAAAATAGTCATACAATTAAGTGATTTATTCTGTACACAAATTGCAAAAGTACAGATCACCATCACATTAAATTTGTCAGATATCACTTCAAAGTTTCTCTCCATCTCTGTGTCTGGACTTCTTCTAATACAAAAAAAAAAAAATGTTTCATACAAAATTTGTAGACATGAATCACAACTGACATGACACAAAAAGTAGATAATTTTTCAGACAAGTCTTACTTTTAACTCAATTTTATGACATAAATTTAACGATGCTGTGCAGAAGTTGTGAAGTACACGATTCGGTAAAACAGTGATTATGTCCAAAAACTGAAATACGAAACAGCTGTAACCTACTGCAATGCCCCCTCCAAACTTTCACCTGGGACGATTAAGGAGAGTGACAAGAAATCAAGACAGCTGATATCACACCCACAATTCAACATCAGTAGGACCAAAATGCGAATTAGAGAGGTTAATAAAAATTCTGTAATTTTTCTGCATAAGATCACTTACATCATCACTTTCATGAAACAGGGGGCAAAGTGAGTTCTCCAGCAGACTGTAGGCATATTCATAGGCTTGAAACAGTGGTGGTGTAGTACGAAGTTTTATAATGTTTTCAGCTGGTTCTTGTAAAACTGAAACAAAATTGAACATATTAAGAATTTCATGATAATACAGTAATACTTCAACATGCCAACTGAACTCTACACTATTCTTGAAAGCAATCAGCTGTCCTTTGTTGGCTTACTGAGTCAATCATATTTTATGTGGAAAGATGAAACACTTAATCTTTACACTGGCTCTTAGATTTCTGGTTCCTGCATTCAGCCTGATTTAAAACAGTTTTAATGTTCTGGAGTACTGAGAGTTGGAAAATAAATTGGGAAAAGAGTTCCCCCTTTTGTACAATAAAGGTTAAAGAAGATCATCTGCTTTTATATTTCTGAAAACTGAACTCCTTTGCTTTCACTACTTTCTTACAGGCTTCCTTTCCTCCATGAAATTTCAATTAATTTTTATGAAGAGGAGAATTTGCACAATGTAGGAATTTCACTGTCTGGCTGACAGTTTTCTAAAAAATTTTCTGCATTTAATATAAGACATCCATTATATTTATATCACCCAATAGTACATGTGGAAAAGAAATTGTCAAAACATTAACTAGACACTCCATAACACTACCAACTGTATTCAGGTCCTTTTGAGAAAGGAAAAATATCTCACAGCACACAAACTTGTGTATTATTGTGAAGTGTGTGTGTGTGCATGCACGTGCATGTGCCATGCACAAGTATCTGTATGCATGCATGAATCACGTTCATATTATTCTTCATACTTATTTATGATGTGCACTTGCATACATGTTGTTACTATGCCTTGTAGTATGCATAATAAATGACATGAGAGAGAGAGAGAGATAAAATATTAAGATTAAATGTTTCTACGAAAGCCTATCAAGAAACATGAAAAATATTGTCACATGATAAGAGTGACTATAGACGGGGTTTGGATTGGTGACTCAATTTATTTACCACTTATACAACTTGTTACTACACTTCACAAATCACTATCACAAACAGGCTAGTGTTCTCAGTCTGTTACAGTCTGCACTAGTCATTACTTGGTAACGGCTTGTAATGGCAAACGTTCTCCTTACTCTGGGTTTCTGAACTAACCTCTTGCCTTGGCTACCAGCTTCTAAAATGCAGTTCTCTGACAAACTCCCAGGCTGCTGAACATTTCACACCAACCTCCTAGTCTTCTCTTCACAGACTGACTTTCAACTGACAAAGCTATAAACTTTGTCCCACTTATAACCCCTCAGCATGCACCACGCAGAAAATACAGCTCTTCTATTGTTGTAGTTAAACTGAAGAGATGTGTTTACCGCACTGTTATGTAGCAACAACTTCAGCGCAAACAACAGAAAACGCCGCTTTCAACAGTTCCTATGTTGTTGCATGGGAACAACCATGGGAACCTGTTTGCTTGCAATCATTACCCAGTAATGTGTCTACACGCTACAATATCAAGAGAACAACACTTCAGCAAATAAACAGCAGCACAAGGTGACAATACGACAAACCACACTCCGAGAACTAATATTAAATCTAGAGAAACAAATTTGAATTCAAAATGTTGTAAGGCACCAGATGAGAAACATTACAGCACACCACTACAGAGTCTGGCTAAAGGCACTGCGTTACAAACAAGAGATCTTGATCTTATTATGGCTGTGCGAATGGAAGTAAGGGTGTACCTGTATGCATCTCAGTGACAAGCTGCTGTGAGAAGTGAATCTTATCTGGGGATTCCACACTGAAGTACACTGAGAACAGATCCCAAGCTTCCTCATACAGATTCTCAAGATCCTGTTTACTCAAATCTGGTGTCAACATCTTGCGATTGAATTCTTCTGCAAACATTCATCAGGAAACAATTAAAAAAACATATACACATTGAACTACTTGAATCAGAAAACTGCACATAAACAGCCACTGATTTCAATTCTGAATTATGGATGATGCATGCCGTAAGATGCGATAATAACTAGTTCTTGAAGCACATCAAAATTACTATGTAACAGTGCCCCTAGAAGCTACTCTCGGTACCTATGTACCAAAATATTTTATTTTGTACTGTATATACCATTTTACTTTTTGTTTAACTATAATGTATATATATATTAACCGTCTTTTAGTGCATACAATTTCACTTGTCACTTCACACTACATGTTTCGGCATCATTCTGCCATCATCAGGTGTATTAATCACGTTAAACCATTGCATTGCCTGCCATCATGTGTCCATTTATAAAAAGATATAAAATGTGCCTTCGTCGTTGTTCAATAATAAATTTATATATTAAAACTTGTTAAGATCTATCATCTTACATGTCGTATGTCAAACTCATGTGTAATGCCATTCATCCACTAAGGGAGTCGTTCTTCTTATGTTTTAATTGTGTTTTATTTTGTTTAACCGCTTGTATGATGGTCTAAAAATTCTGACTGGTTTCTTCCAACATAAAAACAATAAAAAATATATCTACTTTACTAATTTTCAACTACCAAAAAGACAATGTAAGGAAGAGAATAAGAATAAAACTCCGTTATTTGAATAAGGCACCTGTGACTGAAATACTTAGTTCAGCAGGACTCCTACAGATGCAACCTTGGCATGCTATTTATCCAGTCTAAATTAAACCAGGAGTTAGCCATAAGGTATTTTGTCAGAAACAATTAAATGGCTAAAAAATTCATGTAGACAAAAAGAAATCCAATATATTTCCTATTCAGAGCCATCTAACAATGAGGTGTATTACTGCCACTATTTCCTGCTTCCCTTCAGAATATGTGACTAAAAAGTCAAAGAAAATGAGATGAGACTGAAACTATATGGAACATATCAGCAATCAGTGTATGCTGATCACAAAAACTCTGACAGGGATCAATTTTGGTCCAGGCTGGAAAATCAAGACTGCATTTCTTAAAACCCAAAGCTGGGGCTTTGTGGAAAGTCACAGACATATCTGAACATGAAATAATACCAGGAAAAACACAACATATTGATAAACTTTACGCTCTTTATGCTGATAGGAGAACTGATCATAAATATGCGGGTTGATATTTTTGGGTGACAACTGATACTGGTGAGTTTGCGCCAATTCAGTTTATATGACAACATAATTTATTACTTATGTGTCAAACAGCTGCAGGTATTCAGTTTCTATTACTGCCGCAGTTAGTCTTCTATCAGCAGCATTTTCATCTGCTTGTTAAAAAGTTAGGAGGAAACATCTTTTCTCAAATTTTTCAGCAAGATTTTGGAAGATACCAACTTCCTACAAAATGAAGCAACTATAGATGAGATTATGGCATTCCAGTATGACCTAAAAATAAAGTGCCAAAGTTTCCAACAAAGAAGTTCAGAATAACTGTGAAATATTAGAATGAAAGGCCAAAATCACTACAATTTGCATTTCTTAATAGAAAAGGAATTATATACTATTAATCTGTTCTTCCAAAACTCAAACAATCCGCCTTAAAGTACTGAAATGTTTATGGCAGAATACTCATCAGAAATTATCCAAACTCTGATTGAAGAAATGATTTTATATCACATTAATGCATCTTCCAAAAACAGAACCTTTAGTAAAGTGATTTTTGACCAGAAGATATATAAAAGTTTTGGAATACCCACTACACTCCCTTGATTTTTCTCCATGTGACCTCAAATTATTGAAGGAAAAAGCCTTCTGGAAAGTCTCAGTTTCAATTACTTCAAAACATTCAGAGCAATGTAATGACAGCAGCAGAAGGCCTTTCTGAAATGATTTACAGCAATGTCACGGGTTGTTGCGGATATGCTAGAATGTCTGTATGCTAAGAAGTTGTGCATGTCAAGGGAGACGACATAGAATATCAGTTAGTAAAAATGTATTTTTATTTACAGAATCAATCTGATTACATAATTGTCAGACTATACATGTTGTTGTGAAGGAGTAGTATGAAATAAACAGCTCATTAACCTTTAACTTAACAAATAGTGAATGCCTTATACAGCTAATTCTGTCCAGAAAATCTGTGCTCATGGCTATTCCAACTCACAACACTGTTCATGGCCAGGCTTTAAGAATCAAAAGAAACAAAGGTCTTACCAACATCCAAACAAAACTGCAAGATGTTTACACAGCCCTCACCCTTCAAAAACTGCATGAAGGGATACAGCAAAGACTGGTCTTTGAGTACACTTGACAGATCTAGTCTTAAGGCCTATGGAAGGAAAACAAAATAGTATATTATACAACTAATTGGTACCTTCAAATATATTTCACTCTTGTACCTGTTTCAATGGTCAGTATGAACTCTGTGTTTCAAGACAAACATCACATTAGTGACTTACAGAAAACTGGAAAATACACGAAATTCATCTTACAGAATGTAAGATTAGAAATACATGCCACTTACAGTTTGCTTCTACAATGCATCACTCAGAAGTTATTAAAACTTTAAAGCTGCGCCATCATTTTAAACACCTCCAGCATAGAAAAAATTTTTAAGTACCAAAATGTACACTAATAACACAAAATTTTCATGACTAATATCTTTGCAGCAGGAAAATAGACTTTATAAGCTCTACACAAAACTCCTTGTTTACCTCTATCTGCCTAGAGAATAGGTCTGGAATTTACCCAGCCTCCAAGTCAATGGGTACAAGGGGTTATTTCCCTGGAAGTGAAGACAACTGAAGTACGAAACTGAGTATTCACTTCCACTTAGTGTTGAAGTCAAGAGTGGATAAAGTTGTACATTCACACCACCCCCTCATAACATGGTACTCAGTACAAGCTGAGTTTATCTTTAATGTAAGTACATACTGGAAATTTGGTCTTTATATACACTAAAGAGAACAGCAGCAGTCTCTGTAATTCTTTCCTGGATCTTCTTACCTGAGCCACCTGGCTGGTCACAATGCTTGTCAATACACCCAGAATAGCCGATCATCTAGAGTGTAAGAACTACAGAGGTACAATACTGGTAAATGTAGCAAACAAGATTTACTCAGTGGTCCTTTTCGTGAAACTAGGGCCAACTTTCAAGGAACATGTGGGAAAATATCAGTGTGGATTTACAACTTGTAAATCAACAAGTGACCAGATTTTTAACATCAGAAAAATAATACAAAAAACTTCAGCATATTATTATTAAAACATATTATTTATTTATATGTTTATTTTCAAACAGCCTATGACTCCATTCTTTATCTGGCCATGAGGGACATTGAGATTCCTGATGAACTTATTAAACTGACAAAATTAACAATGACAAACAATTGTGCCTTGTTACATTAAGGAATGTATTATCCAGACAGTTTTACATTAAAGGAAATGTGACCCACTAGCATGCCTTATATTAATATAAGATTAGAAAAAGTAATAAGAGATGGTAAAGTGGAAACTACAGGTACAATCTACACCAATCGCTTCAAAATTTTGACATAACGTTGCATTCGAACACGCGAGTGTTTTTGTGTGCCTATTATGTAGATGTCACACCCATGACAGGTAAAAACCTGCCACATGTTCCGAATCCAGCAGTCGTTTCAATTGTAACGCTAGAACAGTTAGCGTATACTTCCATGGGAACGCAATAACAGTTTGCCGTTGCTAGCATTTCCTAAGCAACAGATGAAACTAACTCTTTGATAAGGTATTCCCTAGCCCATACGAGTGCTTCAGCCCATTCATACTGCATTTCTTGAAGAGTTCCATGTAATCATTAACTACAAGCCTTTATTGGTTATATGTCGTACTACTGTAAGAGTGCATGTACTGCATCCGGCCACTGACCCAAAAGCAAATTTATATATGTACCATAAAGTTTAATTTTACACTTTACATTTATAAACCATTCCATATGTAAACAAACTGGATCACAGAAGATATCCTGGCATCTCCAGTGGCACCAAGTGTTTTATATCTCTTACTAAGGTTACCATTTTCAAACTACTGGTATCTTAACTGCATACTGGCTTTCCTTCATATCTGTCTTTTACTTACAGAACCATGGAAAACAGGTACAGATGAAACAAATCGTGCCAGGAACTCAACTCTTGTTGGAGGCCGATCAGGATATTGAGAAAGTGTGTAATTATCTAGAAGAAGCAACAGCAAGCTGTTCACAATTGCTGGATCTGCTAAAACATCTGTAACTGGGAGGAGAATCCACCCACTCAGTAACTCTCGAATCAGTACACTGAAGTTCCTGTAGCACAAAATGGGGAAATATGTACATGAAGTGCATATGTTTTACTTTCACTGGCTTTCAGGTTCATTCATTGCACACAGAAAGTGTATTTTGTATTTCTTTAATATTGGATGATATGGTAACCTGTTAAAGATGAGTAAACTGTAAGTATGTGCAGCCCCTAGTGTCATAAATAAGTAGATAAGTAGTATTTTGATTCTTACACAGATATTACTTGTTATATTGTGAGTTTGAAAAATGAGATTTCACTTTATTCAACTAATTTAGACTGACTTAAATTAATAGCACTCAAGTAATGTGAAAGGTCTGCTAACCAAGTGAGAGCTGAAGGAGAGGGGGAGTAGAGTATTGTATGGGTGGAAGAGGAAGAATGGGACAGGATAAAGGAAAATTCAGCCTTACAAATTTTATTTATGTAATTTACCCTCAGTGACTTTTATTTTTGGATCACAACTGTCACATAAATCAAGGAGTACCCCTAATAGTATGTTAGAGTGAAAATTAGTTATATGAAATTATTTTTTTCATCTTGGAACTATACTCTTTAAGTTTTCACATGTGAAGTAGTGTGAATGAAGTTCTCACTACAAGAAATTTTGGTTATATGCTTATTTTTTAAAATGAACTGAGCTCTTATAGTGAGGACTGAGCACATTCTATGAATATTCTTCATATAAAAATTCTCTTTCAAGCAGATATACTAGATCTTAATGAGTTCTAGAGATCCAGACTTCTTATGATGCTTCATTGGAAGATGATGCAGTTTAACATGAACTTTGCACAAAAGTGAGGGTTATACTGGACAGATATGAACCAAAACTAAATTCACCTTTAATGTGGACCTCTAACATAAAGCTTCAAAATCTACCAAGTAGTTTTTAAAGACAAAATATGTGGATATGCTCATTTTGTGCACCCTGTGTAAGGAATGTAAAAGAACTAGAATTTAATAAGGCTGGCACATACACTTCTGCACTTCTTGCACCGTCTCCTTTCCCAACGCCACAGTTATTTACAACATATCATACAAACATAAATCCAAGCTCTTAGCTGACAGATATGATGGTCTGCCAGCAGTAGGATATACAGAGTACATTACTACTCACTTGCAGTACAGTTGGTTAGGTGGCAATAGCTGCACAAGGAGTAAAGTTGTTAGCTGTCGTAGATATGATAGTTCGTTGTCTCGATTTCTGGCAGCAGGATGGACACGGGGACCTAGATACTGCAGGGCAGCCTTTTCCAAGGGCATTCGCTGTCTACTGGACAGCCGCAGAGCACCCAGATAATCATCCAAGTGACTCAGACCAGCTGGGATCAACTTGTTTATAATCACATGAGCCAAATCTACCTGATTCAAGGACAATAAACAATTATAACAGAACTGTCATAACGATTATAATAAAACCCTATAAATGGTAAAATGATCATTCAGTAGTTGCTGTTGACAACCATGCTGTGAAGCAACTTGGTATCTGCCACCAAGTTATCTCTCTCATGGTTTTTAAATGTTTTCATGTTATGGACAGAACAGTTCTGCCAAATATACAGAATGCTGTACTATCTATTTCCTGTTTGTAAGAAATCCATAAAGAAAAACAATAAAAAGCAAAAAGGTTCCTCAACACAAATTGAGCTAAAAGACAAGAGGTACAAAAATCCAACTGGGAGTTATTTAAAGATAACATTTCAACCAAAATGTTACGGGAGGTGGCAACACTAACGTGTACAGTGAACAGGTAAGGATGTCCAAGGAGAAAGTCATGGTATATTTCATAATACATCTTAATACTTGCCAATTTCATGGTCTATTTGAAATATCTGGACCTAAGACAAAGAAATTAACAGGACAGATGGATATAAAAAATGACCAACAACAAATTTCAGAATACATACCCTTCGTCTTATGTTGGGCTGATAAAATTAAATGATGGACAGACATATGGCATGCCTGGTCAGATGAGAAATGAATACAGAACTTTAACTGAAACTCTTGAAGAGAAGTGACAACTTGGGAGATTAATGAAACTTCAGTTTCTATAACAGGGAAAGAATTTCTTGATCACCTGAGTGATTACCAGCTTTCCACGAAGGTCTCTGCACAATAATTCAATCATTTACTTCAAGGTACTCTATTTACATGGAAAAACTAGACCACTGAAACCTGCCAAACTGCTCATAACAATTAATTACAAGGGTGATATTACAGCACTACTTATGTACGACTAAGGAAAAAGCAGGCCGCGCCATAGCTCAAGCGGTTAGTCACTAGCTTCCCATCGCAGCAGCCCAGGTTTGATCCTGGGTGTGGTAAAGTGGGATTTGTGGTGGACAAAGTGGGGCTGGGGCAGGTTTTCTCCGAGTAACTCGGTTTTCCTTGCCAATTTTCATTCTACCAAATTCTCCATCATCATAATCACCCAGGGCAGGCTACAATAGGCCAATCAGTGGCCACCGGGCCGAGTGGACCCAGTTGGACTCCACCCCCCACTAAGTGAAAATACTGTCCCATCATCCATGACCACTTATGCTCTAGAGGTCAATTCTTTGTCCACCCATTACTTCACTGCAACACCACTGCTTACTCAATGCACTCACGTCTTCTTCCCTCTTCTCTTTTATCACTGAACAAACTGAAAACTGATTTACTAGTCTTAACTCACTGTCTCACCTTAGGCGCAAATAACCATGCTGTTGGAGTGCCTCTATACCAAATTGCTTATACAAACAGTGAGTGGCCCATGACTGACTCCTATGCTTTGTGATGCAATAAACTGAACTCGCTACAGCTACTTAAAAAGGGTGTCATTCATCAGGAAATCACTAGTAACTTCTAGGTGATGTTGGCTGTTGGCATTAGCTAAGCAGTTGCTTGAACAATGAGACAAGAACATTGCTATGACATGACCCCAGTGTTAGTTGCTCCTGCAACAGTATCACCTGTATTTCTATCGAAAAGTATGAATTCTGCATGTCCCAGTGCACATAATTATGCCTATTAATGTGACCTGACAGTTTGAATGTTGCTTTGAAATTCTATAAAATCTACCAGAAAACTTGGGATTTCTCCTGAAACTGGTTCAAAGCTATCTCACTAACTGGACTCATCCACCATAATCATCTTCAAGCAGGCCGTGAACAGAACATAAGACATAACATTTAAATCTGCATTCATGAGGAATTAGTTAAAATGCATACTTAAAGGTGCCTTCAGCATAGATTCTTCAGGACTGTGCAACACAGCCCTAGTGTTTCCTTTGGTTCTCACAGATCTTGGACCACCATTTCTTATGGCATCTAAAGCAGTGCCATGCTCTCCAGATTTCTCTCACAGATGGTAAATGAGTAGATGGCTCAGATTCAAAATTCTTGCACAACTTCCCCTAAACAGTGGTTGCACCTTCTTTCTAAAAAGCTTTTAGCATGAAAGCACATTCACTAGAAGCAAACTTACTACAAAACACATAGCCTCATGGCATAATGAACACAGCAATACTGCAGGGTGACTGATGTGGTAAAAAGGAAAGCTATCCCTGTACCAGGCTGTGAAGGCCCATAGGGTTGTGAGACGTTGAGGGTCCCACACTATCTAGATAATCAGCTCAAAGATGGCAGTAAGGTTGTCAGCCTTACACGCCGGCTGCACTTTACTCCCCAGGAAAATTATTTAATTAATTCCTGGTGCTCATTTCTGTTAGAGACTGAGTAAACCCGAGGGCCTAGTGCGGCTGGAAGGATTAGGTCAACTGAAAAAATTCAATGACCTCATCGGTACTTGAACCCGCGACCTTCCGGCTTGTAGCATAGCCCCTCAACCACTACGCTACCACATGCCCCGACTGATGTGGTAGTGGTGTCAACAATATGAACTAGCTGAAACCTGTTCATGCACAAGAAAAGAAATATACATAAGAAAGTACGAAGTGTCTGATTTTTGCACCACCTTGGATATAACCTAAGATGAGAATGAATCAATTAATAGAGTAGCAAGTGATTCATTAAAAGGATTCTAACAACACACACAAATGCATGCATATTTGTATACCTGTACATTATCAAAGATACCTGCAATCCTCTGCGAAGTAACACACTAGCAGCATAACGAATACTTTGTCTTAGTTCCAGTACAAAAGTCTCATCAGCTGAGAGATTGTTGTACCATGAATATACAAACTCCTTTAAAGTTTTGTTCAGGAACTGGAATATGACAATTAACAAAGTTATCAAGAATGTTTAAATATTCTTTTGTAATTGTATGGAATGAAATCTTACCAAAACAATTAAGTTGTAAACAACAGAGCTTCTACAACCAGCTTCACTAACAGCCATATAAAATCTGGAGGTATACATTATGACTTACTCTTTCCAATGCATAAGTTAGTGATGTGTAGTGGTGCAACTGTTACAAGACACTGAATGTTAACAAAACACAGCAAGTGAGTACACATTTTTACTTATCATATTTCTTGCAAATTTACTTCCTAATAACTAGTATTAGTACTTGGGGAATGCAAAAGTGTAGTTGGTTGAGGCATTATGCTACAAGTTGGCAGGTCACAGGTTCAAGTCTCAATGATGTCACTGAATTTTTTAATTTGCCTAATCCTTCCAGCTGCACTATGGCCCTAGGGTTGACTCAGCCTCTAACAGAAATGAGTATCACTGATTCCTGGAGGGTAGATGGTGGCCAGTGTGTAAGGCTGACAACCTTACCATCATCTGTGAGCTGACTATCTAGAAGACATGGGAGCCTCAACCTCGCACACCACTATGGGCCATCACAGCCTGTTACAGGGACAGATTTAGTTGTTTTTTTTTGTACTAGTGCTTATAGTCGGTCGGGATAGCGCAGTCAGTATAGCGACTGGCTACTGACTGGATGACCAAGGGGTCGGAGCTCAAGTTCCAGTGGGATCAAGAATTTTCACTGCTCAATGTCGTCCAGACTGGCTCTGGGGTCCACTCAACCTACTATCCAATGGGTACCAGGGGCTCTTTCCCCGGTGGTAAAGCGGCCAGGGCGTGAAGCCGACCACTCACCTCCAGCCAGTGCCGAGGTAAAGAAAATGTGGATCTATACATCCACTCCCCCATATACCTTCATGATGTAGCGCTTAATTAGTTAAGCACGTGGAAAAATTTACCTTACTAGTACTTATAACCAGACAAACACAATTCATCACTGCAACTGAACAGTATATAGTGCTGTGCCGTGCAAGCGAAATCTAAATTATCTGTGCCCTAGTTACATACAAAAGGTGATTCTAAACTGTTCTTAAACAAGTGAGAAAACACTATAAATTACCTTTACAAACCGAAAGCAGACTGTCATGTGGCAGTGACAAATTTTGATTATCTTACTGAAAACTACCACAAACAACTCACTACTAACAACTTTTAATCTTATGTCAATAATTAACTTCCCCACAATAACTCAAAATTTCTCCAGTACTGTCATCAATAATATTTTTATAGACAGCTTCAAGAATGACCATACATCTATCAAAACCCTGATATACGGGCCTTCTGATCATTGCTGTTTGGAAATCTTTGTTTATTTGTATAAAATATAAGGTATTAAAAGTGACAAACTGAATTACGCATTTAAAAATGCCATTACTGAATACTGTACCAACATACATCTTCAATAGCTTCATCAATTTCATCTGGGACTTCTAAACCAATCCATGGTTGCTGAGCATGTGCGCTAGAGCTGGGACGATGCCGATTACATTTCCCACTACCACACACAGCACACCATGCTTTTAACGGCTGTACAGAAGCTGTACCCCGCTGTTTTCCAGTCACTAGTGACAATAAGTTTGGAGCCTCAGATCTGTAGCTGTTAAACAACAGTATAGTGACTGAATTAAAACCTTTATCTTAATCACTATCCTGCCATTATGATTAATTTAGCAGTTTCAATATACCAGTTATAGAACCCAGTATACGATTTTGACTTACTTGAATATGGAATTAAAAATTATGAAACCTCCAATGTAAGCTGCTAACACAAAAATTCCGGAGAGGAAACTGAAACATGAATGAAAATGCCTTTCATGTACACAAATTAGAGGTTATATTCGGAGCTGTTCTCAGTACTTGCTAAACTGATATTTTAAATAAATGTACTCCTCTCATATTCATTTGTATTATACTAAAGTCCTTGTCATACACTGGCATACAGCAGAACGCCATGCAGTCTACAGAATCGTACAAACCTTAACGATATTGACAAAAACAGACACAGTATTATAATAACTAAAACCGACGTTCGCGCTAGTTTATCGTTCCAAATTAAAAATATGTGTATCTTGGCTTCATTCTCGTCCATTTTCCGACCAGGAATTCACAGAACCCTGTCTTCAGTACTTCAGCATTATTTCAAGCTTAAACTAAATACAAATAGCACTACGATTATACATGCCCGCACATTTCCCCCTCCTACTTTTGACATGGATCGCCTTATAGCACAGATCACCATGCACAGATATGCAACTATACGTTATTGGTGGATGACATAGTCACAGATTACTACCAACCAGGTATTAAAAGGTAGGGCTGTCCACGTGTTTACCTAAATAAGTAGTATTACTCTATGAAAACGTACGGAAGAGTGGATGTGTTCGAGGCAAATCCCCGTATTCTTGACCTCGGTACTGCTCGGCACTAGTTGGAGGTATGTGGCCAGCTTCACGCCTCGGCCACTTTACCCCCGGGGAAATAGCCCAAGCCACACATTACATAGGAGGTTGGGTGGGCCCCAGAACCATTCTTCACTAAGCACAGAGAAGAAAACTCTAGACCCTACTGGGACTCAAACTCAGACCCCTTGGCTGTCCAGCCGATAGCCAGTTGCTATACTGTCTGTGCTATCCCAGTTCATAACCAGGGACTACTGAATACCAACATTTACAGTTCAGGTTACGGTGTTGCTTGAACCAAGTGCATGCAAATCCAATTACTCATGAAATATGTTGCATGATATGATGACCCTCCCTCATCTGAATCAGTCACACAAACTGTTCATTTAATGACACTATTGGGAATTGTGGACTGCATATGACTCCATGAGGCCACTGCCAGATCTGTGGGTAAAAAGCTACTTATACTACTTCCACTCAGCCCATCCCATTCTGAGTACACCAATGAATACGTTTCAAATCCTGATCCCTTGTGCCACAGAGGAACTTATCACTTTGACTCGCGCGGGCGTGTTTTAACGCCCGGACGATACCAGCCGTTCCCTGGCGTTGGCGTGTTTTAACGCTTTGACAATCTCATCCCTTCTTTGCTCTCTTGGCACTCATCAACCAAAGACATATATATGATATTTTTTGTGCATGTTTGTAAAGAACCCTTGTAAACTTTGTGGGGGTCTATATTACTGTCAGAACCCTCTGAGAAGGTAAAGGTCAGAAAATATTTCACATTCATTCAGTTTCACCATAGCTTCTTGCAGCAAGTGTCTTCGTGTTCCTACAGACCAGCTGGAAAATGTTGTGAACGAGATTTTTTCTGATGATGATAGTGGCGATGAAATAATGATTCCTGAATTGAATGAAGTTGATAGTGACAATAATACAGTGATAGACAATGATCCACAAGACAGTAATCATGAACATACCTAACACGAGTGCGGTGCCTGACACGCCCATCTCATGAACGTACGGAGACATTGTACCCCCAATATTTCCATTTGATAATAGTTTTGGGATCAAAATTGATATAACACATAAAATACATCCCTTTTCATGGATTAAAATTTTTTCTGGATG